CTTCAGGGACTCTGACCTTGCCACATGATGCTTCATTTTCTCTCCATGATCCCTTCCATCGGTGAGCATCTACTGCAACTGAGACTACACCTGCATATGGCCTTCCCTGACTTCTTACAACCAGAACAGGAACTCAAGGCAAAAACCAGAGCAGAAGACAATGGAGGAACGCTGCTTATCATCTTGTTCCTTGGTGGCTTGCTGGGTCTGCTTTCTTACACAACCCAAGACCGCCTGTCCAGGGGTGGCACCATCCGTATCAATCATTAAACAAGAAAATTTCCTTCAAATTATTTACAGTTGATCTAATGGCATTTTATCAAGAGTGTTTCCTCTTCTCAGGTAACTATAACTTGTGACAAGTTTACAGAAACCAACCAAAACAACTACCCCTTGTCAACTTGACACACGAATATAATACTATGAAACAATAACCTTCCCTTTTTTGTTTGTCCCCAAAGTTTCGTATTTAATGATAACAGCACAATGTAAAACATTTTAATTTTTAAAAGTCCTACCTCACTAAAAATTCAACAATAACAATTAAAAGTACTAAATTTCCTTTTCTGGTTTTTCCAGACAAGTTTCTCTGTGTAACTTTAGACCCTGTCCTGGAACTTACTCTGTAGACCAGACTGGCCTTGAACTCACAGAAATCCACCTGCCTCTAACTCTGGAGTGTTGGGATTAAAGGCATGTGCCACCACCACGAGGCTTTTGGGGAGGAACAAGTTTCTTAAAATATGTAAAGTCTCTCTAAAAATCAATTCTCTCTAATGTTCCAGAGTCTCTTAACTATGGTGAATCTCAACTTACATATGGATCCTGTAATAGGATATACAGTGACATACATAATAAATAGTTGTGACACGAAGGGATAAGCTATAGAGCATATGGAACTCAGCATGCCAAGCAAAGAAACTGAAATATTTCTGTTCTTTCAGAGACTGATTCGGTCATGTATCCTGGGGGTAGGTATATTAATTATTTTTCTCATTGCTGTAACAAAATAACTGACAAAAGCAATTTAAGGAGGAAAGGGTTTATTTCAGATTGAGGCTGAGGGGATATACAGCACCTGGTCACATTACATCTGTTGGTTGGAAGCAGAGAGAGATGCTGATGCTGAGCTCAGTTTCTTTTGACTGCCCACTGGGTGGTACCATCCACATTTAGAGTGGATTTTCCATCGCAGTTAACCCAATCTAGACACTCCCTCACAGGCCAGCTCAGAGCTCTGACTCCTAGGTGATGCCAGATCTTGTCAAGATGACAGTCAGTATTAATAATCAGTGTGTATGTTTGAAATTGACTCTCACAGTACTTTTAACTTGCTGTAGAAATAGCTACCTTGGGTTGAGTTTTTCTGTCAGGTACCTTGTCAAAAACTTGTACATTATTTCAGCCATATTTTCTATAATCTTGTCGAGTAGATGGCATATTTTCACTTTACAGATGAAAAAGCAAGGCTCAGAAAGCCAAGTAAGCTGCCCAATGTGATGAGTTGAGACAGGATTTGAATACAGGTCTTCTGGGTCCAAAGTCTATACTTAGAAACATTAATCTTCATGAATTTTAAAAACATGTGATCATAATCTTGCTTCCTGACTTTCAGTTGCTATAATACAGTAACTAAAGTTCCTCTCTCCAGTTTGAAGGCAATGAGAATTATTAGAAAATAAACTACAAGTAGGTAGATTTCATCTAGGTTGATTTTGTTGTTGTTGTTTTGGTGTATGTGCTGTTTTGGTTTTGCCAACTTGACACAGACTGGAGTTACCTGGGAAGGGGAGTCTCAATTGAGAAAAACCCTCCATCAGATTGCCTACAGGCAAGTCAGTAGGGCATTTTTTAAAAATTAATAATTGATGTGGGAGGGCCCAAACCACTGTGGATGTGGCTACCCCTGAGCAGACGGTCCTGGGTTGTACAAGAAATATCAACTAGTTACATCTTTCCTGTCTCAGTTCATACTAAGTTTTGGGTAGTTATTGACACTAATCAAGTAATTTTTTCATTTGTCTGTCATCCACTATTACAGAAGAAAGGCCGGAAAAAAGAAAGAAGTCACATATAAAACACCAGTTAAAAGCACAGTCAAGTTTTCAGGAGTCAAGGAGAACCTACTTCCCATTCGCCCACTCACCCCACCTCTAGCAAGCAGGAGCAAACTTCTGAGCTGCCACTCTGACAGGAGAAAAGATGCAACAAATAGCAAAGGAATGTGCTGTTTTTATAGGGTGTGCTTAAAACAACAACAACACAACCAAAAAACTGTTCAGATTTCACAAAAGGTTAAGACAGTTCATAACACTATCTCTCAGATAAAAACAAACCCCTAAGAGAGTTCACTCAGCTCTGACCCAGTCTTCTTGCTTCCTGGTTCCTGAGCCCTGCAGGCCTCAGGGAAACTTCGCTGGTTTTTCTTTACCAATCTCATCGGCCTGACTTCTTACGGTTGCAAATGGTATGTTTATGCTAGGAAGTTTATGATAGGAAGTTCCTTACAGGGACAAATCTAAACGCTGGGTTGCGAATGGTATGTTCACGCTAGGAAGTTCCTTATAGGAACTAATATAAATGCAGGGCAGCAGGATGCCTCCATCCACATGATACAGTCAGTACTCACAGATACCACTTATTACTAACAATAGGGAATGACGAGGGACAGGAATGGCAGATAGAGCACTTTTATCCTCTATAGTTTAAGGACAAATTGGTAACATGTATTGTAGAAAGGAATCTGTACACATCCCTGTTCATGGTCTGCTGTTCTGAGTTAACCCCTGGCCCAGGAGGCACCAGGAGGAACACAGGACTTGGTATTTTAAGAATGTCCAAACCCAGTTAAACAGAGACTGTAATGGAGAAAGGCAGACAATAAGGAGGAATGCACAGACATCATCTGGTCGGGTCAAGGCTGACCTCCCAACCAGAAGGCCAAGACTGAGTCTAGAATGGCGGACTGTGGAATGGCGGACTGCCTCTGTTTCCCCCTTGCTCTATCACCTGCCAACTGCAGCTGACTTATTGGAGGGTGTTCAAAGGTGTGAACACCACCTCCCTCTCAGATCACTGGCTCTCTGCAAACCTACAACTTAAAGGTTTCGTTTCCAGAGATAGATAAGAGATAGGGGCAGTAGACGAACACAGTGAGAGGACCCACTGATTTCGTAAATTCAGTCTTTATTGTCAGGGAATTTACTTACAAAGTTGTGCTATAACCCTTAATTTTACTGAACACCTACTGTGTGTCTAACAGGAAAACACCTTTGATTCCTGCCCTGAGGAAGAACACTAGGAAACCTCTCAGACACAGAATAAATATTACAGACACTAGAGAAACCTGGCTGGCTGGAGGGTCTCTTCTCAGGCCATCTGTCCTAACCATATCCTATGGACCACCCAGAGTCAGGCCCAGGAAACACTCCAAACACCCTAAAAAAAGGAGCCAGCAGCAACAGTACTCCCAGCTACATGCCCTTCTCTACTCAGGAGGGCAAACCCACAGCACAGGCTGGCAGACACACAGCCATGTTTGGTCAATGATTCCTTCAGCAAACATACATCACCCTAAGGCAGCAGGCAGTAAATCCCAGCTGCCACCTTACTGTTTCCTGTAAAGTGGGACAAGTCACTTCCTGCACTGGTTGCCTCGAAGACCACAAGAGACCAGTCTTCCTATTCTAGTACACACACACACACACACACACACACACACAGAAAGAGAGAGAGAGAGAGAGAGAGAGAGAGAGAGAGAGAGAGAGAGAGAGAGAGAGAGCGCTTCTTAGGAGGAATTAATCAGTGTGTTCTGAATTAGTCATGCAGTCTCTAAAATCTGTAACCTTTCCACCCCTCGAAAACACTGGGAATTACTCCACTTCTTCATGAGGTCTCTCTGTAAAAACCACTCTGCATCTGAAAGTTAAGATACGACAAACAATTTCTGCTTACCCCAAATAAAATCCCTGACCTCCCAAGGTCTCAATCTAGCTGCATAACAATTAAATGTAGCAAAAAGGAGTTAACGCTTGCACAATCAAACGTCTAGAATTAAAGACGGTGTAAGACCACAGGCCATGAAGTGCAGTAGAACAGGAGGGCCCACCAGAGCCAGGCAATGGCAGGGTCTCAGTGAGGCAGTAGGGGTTCCTTGTGGGGGGCCGAGAGGTCCCATTCTCAGCAGAGCGCCCCAACACCACGTCATCCGCCATAGGTGGAGAAGGGGGGGGTCAGGACTAAGAGGCTCTACGGAAGATACCATTGGGATAGGGGACACGGGGAAGGATGGTCTGGGTTGGGGAGGATACAACCAGGATGTGGGCCTTTGGGGAGCCCGGAAAGGACCTCGGAGAAGGGGAGGGCACGAGACTGGACCAGACGCAGGGCAGGGCAGTTAAAGATCATGGTGGGGAACACTGGGGAAGCCCGCAGGGACCCAGGGAAAGGGGAAGGGGCGCTAAGCTGGACAAAACAGAAAGAAAGACTGCAAGGAAGACAGATCAGGATGCAGACAGTGAACAGGGAACGGGGAAGAGACGGGGACCTCGAAGGGGAATATAGCCAGGAGGAGGGACACTGGGCACAGGGAAGGGGAGACAGGAGATGGAGGGATGCAATCAGGATAGGGGCTCTGGAGAGGCAGGAGCTGGTGGGGGGCGGGATACAATCAGGAAGGACGACATTAGAGAAGAGGGAGGGGCGTGGGTCAGAACGGAGACATTCGAGAAAGGGAAGAGAGCAAGAACGGGGGGGGGGGGTGGACTTTGGGGACGGGAGAAGGAACAGGGGCTGAGAGGGGTCACCGAAGAGAGGACGTGAGGCTGAGGAAGTGGGCGCGGCCAGCAAGGTTGGAGTTCCCGAGAGCCGGGCTTGGAGTGTTGGCGAAGGGGACTAACCCCCCGGGGGGCGTGGAGCAGGGCCGGATGGGGTACTCCGACAGGGGAGGTCCCGGGAAGGGGTCGCACGCGGGCTTAGTGGGGCGCCGCGGGCACCGTCACCTGCGAATGTTCGGTCCGCTAGGCAGGAATCAGGCAGAGAGCGCAAGGTCGCCGGCTTCTTCTGCTCTTTGCTGAACGCGCAAGTCCAGGTCCTGCGTCACCGCCTGGCGCGCATGCGCGGGAGGCAGGTGCCCGCCAGGGTGCAGGGCCGGAGCGGCGTCTGAGGAGTTGCTGCTAACTGGGGCTTAGTAATCAGCTCAAAAGGCAGTTCTAAGTATCCTGAACTTGGCCTCTAAACACAGCTTCCCGGAGAAGTGTATGACTGCGTAACTGGGGTAAACCAAGGGCGAGCCGAGCCTGGAACATCCCGGAGCCAGAAATGAGAGCAGGCGTGCTCAAAAACTAGAAAATGGGGATGTCAAAACTGAAACAGCAACTAAGGAACAAAGCTGGAATCCTTCGCAATAAGTCACATAGAATTGTTATAAATTAGAATGTAAAATATAACGATTAAAGAAATGAATGAGGAAGGATCCTGGGTGTGTTAGCACAGGACCCAGAACTGTGGAGGCTGAGTCAAGAGGATCACGAGTTTGAGGCCAGTCTGGGCTACGTAGCCATTGTCACAAAAAAAAAAAAAAAAAAAAAAAAAGACACTCATAAAGAGGGCTTGGTGGTACACAGCTGTAATTGCAACACTTGGGAAACGAGGAAACGAGGTAGGAAGACACGAAGCCCACAGTCATCCTTGGCTACATAGGCCAGGATGGGAATCCATGAGATCCTGTTTCAAAAAAAAATTACTACCATACTTTTTGAATGATAGTGCCTTGTGTATTGGACAAGGCACAGAAGTGTTGTAAGTGTCCATTTATTTAAAAAGAAAATGTGTAGCATATACTCCCCAGAATGGGAACAGGCTTGAGCAAGCATAAGACTCAGGACCACCAGCAGCCTCCACCCCATATCCTTTTGGAGCATTCTTTTTATGAGCTTGGGTAGAGAGAGGAGCAGATTCCCCTGATGGATAGAATTAGATAGCCCCCCCCCACGGTGACTGGCAGATGGGCTTAGTTTTAAATAGCTTTGGACCATCTTTGTTGGTGGGTCGTATATCCTATAGCTTTAAGCATATGCTTATACATGAGACAGTAAACAGGAGTTTTCCTGTAATTGTCCAGCTCAAAGAAAAACTTGCCCTCACAGCTCACACCCAAAGCTGGTTTAAGATGGACTTGTTTATCTGCTCTACTACTAAGAAATGCCTGACCCCAAATTACCTACAGGAGAGGAGATGCTGTGTGCTGCCCCCACGAGGAAGGAGACCAGGGGAAGGTGCTTGCAGGTCGCAGGGCAGCCTATGCTCACCTACACCAATAGAACTACAGATGCTGCGCTGGTCAGTTTTCATCACCTTGACACACACTAGGATCCTCTGGGAAGAGGGAACTTCAACTGAGGAAAAAAGACTCTCCATCACATTGACCCATAGATAACTCCACAGCAAGCATGGCAAATACAGGAAGCTATCAGAGCTCCTATCTTATTGGGGGTAGTGCAGATATCCTGAAAGCACCAACACCTTGAAGAGCAGTTTTGCACTTCATTGTGAGTGTGGGGAGGGGAGGGTGCACGTATACTACAGCACACTTGTGGAGGTCAGAGGACAGCATTCAGACATTACTTCTCTTCTCCCCCTGTAGGTTCCAAGGACTGAACTAAAGTCACCAGGCTTGTACAGAGAATACTTTCACCAGCTATAATTTTAAATAATGGCTGTGCTTGAAAAATGGTAGAAATTTGTCCTCAAGCTCTTACAACCATAAGCTCAATTACCTGTCTCCTAGTGACCGGCCAATTTTTATGAGCATTTCTGTACAAATCTTTGCATGACTGTATGGTTCCATTTCTTTGCAGCACTTTGGGAACAGAGACAAGCTGATCTCTGTCAGCCCGAGACCAGCCTAGTGTACACAGGGAGTTCCAGGATAGACATAGTAAAACTCTGCCCCAAAACAGCTGAGCAAACAAATTCTATCAAAAGCAATTAAGAAAGAAAGGGTCAGCATGCCCACGGTTCCAGGGTACATAGTCCATCATGGCAGGGGAGTCCTGGTGCAGGAACTTGAAGAAGTTGGTCACATTATACCCACAGTTAGGAATCAAAGATGGGAGAATGCACATCGACGTTCAGCCCACTTTCTCCATTTTATACAGTCCAGGGTTCCTAACATTAGGAATGGTCACATCCACACTTAAGATGGGTCATCACCCATCCATCAACCCAACACAATCTCCTCCAGAGGCATACGATTTCCCTGGTGACTCTAGATTCCCTCAGATCTGACAATTCACAATAACCATCACAGGCTCATATCTAGATGACTAGAGGGGCAGCTCATCGGTTAAGGAATAATTTTTGTTTGCTTGCTTTTGATTTTCAAGACAGTAAGGAATACATTTTACAGCATGGGTTATTTTTATCTTGTGATTGGCTTTGTAAAGACATCATGAGTTACTAGGGGTCAAATGGATGGAGGTCTGAGCCTGTTGGATAAAGTGTAGATTCTTCTACAGTAGTGTCACAATGCCCTAAGACAGATTAGAACTTGTTAAGGGAAACTCTCTCAGACCATACTTGGAATAAACAGCAGCCTTGCTCAGATTGTATCTTGTCCTGGGGCAGAAACAGCCCCATCCTTAGGCTATAAAAGTTCAGCACAACTATTTGTCCCAGATACCAGAATAGCAGCCAGAGCTTCCTGTACTTTACTGTTGTAAAGGATGCTCTCCGAATGAGCATGGACTTGTCTTGTTTTATAAGTGCTCGATGGCTATTCTTGGTTATCGACTTCACTGCATCTGGAGTTAAAATGGAGGGCACACCTGTGATGGATTTTTGCTTAATTTGAAATAGGAAGATGAGCCTTGAGTCTTAAGGTGGGAAACACACCTATAACCTGGGCCGTGCCTTCTCCTGGAAGCCTATATAAGGATATGGAGGAAGGAAGCTTTTGCTCTTTACCTGCTTGTTATCACCTTGCTAGCACGTCCATTCCTTCACTAGCGTTGGAGTCTACTTCTTTGGGATTCCAGCACACCCTGATAACCAGCTGAGACATACAGCCTCTCAGACTGAACAACTATTGGATTCTTGGACTTTTCATCCACAACCAGCCATTGTTGGATTAGCTGGAGCACAGCCTGTAAGTCATTCTAATAAATTCCCCATGTATATGCATATGTACATTCTATAAGCTCTATTACTCTAGAGAATTCTATACAGATAAGCTTTCGGAAGTGGGTTTGTTGGGCTAAAAGCTTAGTGTGCACTGATCTTGATACACATCTCAGATGGTGCCCTCTTCAATACAGCAATCTGATGCCCATTTCCTGTGACCTCACCAGTAGAAGATATTTTTTTATGCTTCCCAGTCCTTGGTGAAAAATGATGACTTATTATTTATTTCCTTGAAGTTTTGTTTTGTTGTTATAGTTTTCCTTATTGAAATGAGATCTTGTTGGTCTAGATCTTAAAACTCACCACAGGGCTCAAGAGATGGCTCAGCAGTTTGCACTGACTGGTCTTCCAGAGGTCCTGAGTTCAATTCCCAGCAACCACATGGTGGCTCACAACCATCTGTAATGAGAGCTGTGCCCTCTTCTAGCCTGCAGGCATCATACTTGCAGGCAGAACACTGTATACACAAATAAATAAATAAATAAATCTTAAAAAAAAAAAAACTCACCACATAGACCAGACTGCTTTAAGCTTGAGGCAGTCCTTGTTATCTCTGCCTCCAAAGTCCTGTGTCTCAAAGTTTTAGCTTGAATTTTTCTCTGTAGGGGTGTGGTTGACTTTTTCGTATCATCAAAACCTATTTGTATGTCCTTTGCTGTAACCTCCACTAATTTCTCTATTGAGTAGTAGAACTGGTTCTTACTCTGGAAGGTCTTAGAATACTGAAGAGATTAACCCTTTGTGGTTTATGTTTCACTGTTAATCATAGGCCTTTTGATTTTGCTTAGGGTGATTTCTCCAGCCAATACTAAAACAATCAATTTAGTGTGTGTGTGTGTGTGTGTGTGTGTGTGTGTGTGTAGTTGCATGTGCATGCATTTGCTCCATGGGACCTGTGTGGAGGTCAGAGAACCACTTTTGGGAGTCTGTTCTCTTTCACCCATGGGCTTTGGGGATCCCCAGGCCTGAATGCCCAGCTGTTTTACTGTTAATCAATTCACTTGCCCCTCTAACCAATGTTTTTCATAGGCATTGATTCTGGCTTTTGAAAGAAAAATTCTTTATTCTGCATTTAAAAAGGAATTTCCCCATGTTCTCTTCTTTTTTACATTTCCACATTTAAAAATTATATGCTTTTTTAGAATTTGGAATTTATCCTGGTACGGGAGGATAGATACAATCTATACTGTTTCTGATAGTTACATTGTGGTCCTAGTCCCACTTATTTAAGAATCCTTTACACTAGTCATCTTTGCTTGCTGTGGCAAAATTGGTGAGAAGAGCTAGGCATGGTGGCACATGTCCTTCATCCCAGGACTTGAGAGGCAGAGCAGGCAAATCACTGAGTCTGTGTGGCCTACATAGTGCCAGCTGTCAGGCGGGCAGCCAAGACATTAATATGGAGATTTACACAAGCGTTTAAGATCCAAAGTATTACACCCTGGGATTTGAAATACTTTATCAAATGTCAACTCCAAATTGTTTGAGTATACTTCTGGTTTTTCCTATTACATTTCACTGGTTTATTTATCTTTGCACTGGTGAGCTTATTGGCTGCAGTCTTTAAATACGTTTTCATTTCTGGTAGGCAGTTAAATAACTCTTCTCAACCTCACCCCCCTTTTTTGTTTGTTTTCTTTTTGGTTTTTTTTTTTTGAGACAGGGCTCCTGTTTCATCGTGTAATAGTCCTGGCTGTCCTGGACCTTGCTTTGTAGACCAGGCTGCCTCACTCACAGAAATATGCCTGCTTCTGGCTCCCAGATACTGGGATTAAAGGCATTCACTACCGAGCCTGGCAAGTAGCCCCCCCCCCCCCCCTTACAACTCTTTGTTCTCAAACATTTCCTGGCATGTGTTCCTTCTGTTTGCTTTTCTGCTGTGTAAAGACAGTGTGGTTTGGGAGTCTCTTTAAGTGCTTGGTGTTTCCTAGTTCTTGTGACAGACACAAGCTTAGCAGGGTAAAAATCTTGGGGTGGTAGTGGAATGGACATGGGAGATCAAAAAGAAAAGGGCGTGGAGGGTGGAGAGACACCGCAGTGGTTAAGAACACTTGCTGCTTGCTCTTGCAGAGGACCTGGGTTCGAGTCCCAGCCCCCACACGGTGGTTCACAATTCCCTCTTCTATTAAGCAGGCTCACAGCTGTGCACACACGCAGGCGTACAAAACACTCTCACACACATAAAGATAAAATGAATCAACCTTTTAAGAAGGGTGGTGGGGAGTCCAGAGATGGCTCAGAGCACTTCCCAGCACTCACGTTGAGTGACTCAAAACTCCAGCTGGAGATCACAAGCCTTTTTTCTGTCCCAGCTCTTCCCCAGCACTCATGCGAGCAAATCCACACACAGCTCTACCCACGTGTACGCACAGCTAAAAATAAAAATGCAATCTTAGTACTGTGCATGGTGGCTGTCGCTTTAATGCCAGAACTCTAGAGGCAGAGGCAGGCAGATCTGTAATTTCAAGGCCATCGTGGTTCAAAATAAAACAAGAGAAAAGCATTTAAAAAAAGAACAATAATAAAAAAACATAAAAAAGGAATTATGTAAATATAATGCGAAACGTCATATATTTTCTCCCGAAGTTACTGCGGGTCATAACCATTTTCTACAAGGTCGTTTCCAACTGGCTTTCAGCTCGAGCCTGAGCTGAAGCCCGGAGCCTAGACGCGCGTCCCAGCATCCGGGCACCTCGCGCACGACTACCGGGAGCGCGCGCGCGCAGCTGCGTCACGTGCCCGGCGCGCCCCCCGGCCGGCGCGCGGCGGGCGGAAGTGAGGTCGTGGGCTGCGGTGTCTGCGCAGCGTCGTCGGTAGCGCGGGCCGCGGCAAGGCGAGCGGGAGGCAGCGCAGGCCTAGCGGTCGGCCGCTTCGGAGCGCTGTCTGGGCACTGCCCGTCGCCGAGCCACACGCCGTGCCGGCTCGGGCCGGCGCGCGCCGGTCCCGGAGGCGCAGGCCGCTGTAAGTCCGGGAAGCACGGGGGCGGCGGCTCGGGGCGGGCGCGGGCCGGAAGTGCGGTGCTTTGTGCAGCGCCTGGTCGGGCCGCGCGGGGAGCCGGGGCGCCGCTTTGTCCGAGGCGGGCCGGGGGGGCGGGGGGGCCTGTGCAGGGCCTGGGCGAGAAGGTCGCGGGTCACTCGGGATGCCGGCCGCCGCAGACCCAGCATCCCCTCTCTTGCAAGAAAAGGCAGACTTTGGAGGGTATCTTAGCAAGGAAAGGACGTTCCGGGGCACGGTCCAGGTTAATCTGAAAAGAAAAAAAAATAAAAAGAAAAGAAAAGGATATCTTGCTAGCGCGCCCACAGGAGGGTGTTCTCTCCTCCAGTGTCTCTTGTATTGTGTTAACTGGTGTTTAATCCGTCCCATACATTTCTTGGAGTGGTTTGCATGCAGGAAGGTTTGCTAGTGAAAAGGTTCGCACGTGCGCATACACACATGAAATTTTATTGTTTTAAAGAAAGGGGTTGTGTAGTTCCTAGACCGTAAACTCTCCGCTTCGCCTTGTTTAAGATGAGATTGCTTTCTGAAGTATGCCTAGATTTTAAATTAAAAGAGGTACTAGTTCGTGCAATCTATTAGAAACGCAGCCTTTAAAACTTTGGTAGGTTCAGAGTTAAAGGGTGGTTTTGCTTTGACAGCCAAGATTTGAGAAATGAGGCTACTTTTCCTAATGCAGAAGCTACCACGGTGGAAATCGTTCAAGATTTTGCTTCTTTAAGTCTTTGTGTACAGCAGGCATACTTCGGCAGTATCTGTAGTTTACTCGTGCAGCATTTTGGAATGTTTTGACATGCATGAAAACCTTTAAGGGTATTTAAATTAATTACGACCAGAACTGAACGAAAGTTAAGATCTCGCAGACGGGTGCTCTAGGTTTTGAGTTGCTTGCCTCTGTGTTCACCTAGGTCATGATTGAGAAGCAATTGCTAGAATTGCCTTCTTCCACCCTCCTAAGAGTGCAAGTGACCCTCTGTATAAGGCAAGTGCCTGGAACCCCAGGGGGAGGAGGAAGCTGCCACAGATTGAGTGGAACTAGCTCTACACCTGCCTTTTAGACCATCTTAATCAGACAGAATGGTAACATAACCGATTGTGTTAATGTGATTTTTTAAACCCTGGGGGGAAAATAGCACAGCACTGCAGAGATAAGTGATTGGAGTTGGGAAAAATAAGACAAGTGCATTTAAAAAATAATTTTTTGTAGGTCCAGTGGTTTAAGGAAGTTATCTCCCTAACTTGTCTTATATCGACAGTTAACTTTTCTGGACTGGTTGCAAACAATTTCAAAGCATGTGTGTGTCCATGTAACAGTTGTGATATAACTGCTTCTGTCTGTGTTCTGTATGCTTTTCGAGATCAGAGTGTCCTCCACAAAAATACATGAGTTCTGTCCTGGGAGTTTGCAAACAGCAGTGAAAGCTGAGTTTGGAGAAGTGGAGAGTTTTCTTGTAAGATGTACTTCCCTCGCTATCAGAGGTCACTTACTGATTTTTTTTTCTAATGAGTTTGTAGCTTATTTATTGGTGCCTCTGGGTAGAAATGATTAAAGCATGCAGAAATGAATGTTGCTGCTATGAAACACTGTCGGGCCTTGACAATTTTGCAATTAACACATTAGCCGAAAACTAATGTTTAGGTCACTGTATGTTTTAAAACTCAAAGTAGGGGCTGGAGAGATGGCTCAGCAGTTAAGAGTGCAGAGGGCTTATTTCCCCAGTGCCTGTCTCAGGCTGCTCACGCTGCCTGTAACCCCAGCTCCAAAGCGTTTGGCACCCTCTTTGACCCCCATGGGTACTCCCACACACAGGCGGCATTCACTCACAAGGCACAAACATAAATACAGATAATAAAAAAATCTGTCTTGATTGCCTTAATTGGGAGAGTCTTATTTTGTAATTTTGTCTTTTCCCACCCTGGAGCTGAGGACCTTAGGTGCTTAGGACCTGGGCGTTCTAGCCACTGAGCTAAATCCCTAACCCCATAAAAACAAATTCTAGAAAACTCAAAGTCTTTCATTTTAATGACGTGCTTGTAATTGCTGAATTTATAGTTGAGGAATCCTTGCAGTCTTTTGACGGGTAAGTATGTGGTTACTTTGTTCTGACACAGGCATCAAACCACTCACAGTGTTCCCATAATTGAGTAATTGCAAAGGGAAGACTTAAGAATTCTACTCCTGCATTCAGTTGAGGCTGGGTACCTGGTCTGCACCAGCTCAGAATAGGGATTGGTGGTTGCTATGTGACCACTGGCACCAGAAGCACAGCTAGATAGGAACCCTGGGTCTTTCTTTGTTTTTTTCATGATACAAAGAGACACTGTATGCAGCCATATTCCCCACATACTGAAGTAAAGTTTAGTAGCATTTTGCAGTATTTGCCCTTTTTAAAGAAATTAAATTACAGGTATCATTCATATTGCTATATTTTGTCTTTCTAAAAATTTTCATATTGCCATATAAACACAAAAGCATTACCACAAATAACAAACTCCACTGTTGGGTGCTCAGCCTGTGTTCACTTTCAAGCCTACTAAAATACGTTTTTTACGTATCTTTCCATATAAATCAGAATCTAAACACGCTCTACCTATTGTCTTTAGTATAAGTCTAGTTTTATATCAGACATCCTCTCTCACCTGTGTTCATACCATTGAAGAACAAACATTTGTCCTTGACACTCCTTTTGGCTTTGTGTGGTTTGCTTCATAATCCTATTCCATGTAGTCCTCAAACTCCTTGACATTCCTGTAAACTGGACATTACTGTGACACTTGGAGCAGAGCACCTTGGGTGTAGAGAGTAACAGACGCTTGTCATGTGAGGGTGCATATAATGTGAGTAGTTAGGTTGATTTGATAGGTTTACATTTGACATCTGCTAATCAGGTGTGCTTTGATAATTCCGAGTTAGACTTTAAATGCCGTAAGTTAAATTTCATTAATAGGAGTCTCATGTGCTATCTGTGCTGGCTAGGTATTAGTGAGCCCCCTCTATGCAGGGAAACTGAGCCACACAAGGTATTTTTTACTGCTTTTGGGCTCACAGTCTTTGAGGGCACTCTCACCATTGAATACATAATTTAAGGAGGGCTTTTTCATTTGGTCACGGAACTGTTACTGCTTTTCTTTCAGCACACTAAGACATTTTGCCAATTGAAAGGGGAACTGCAATGCTTTCTTTTATCTGTCTCTTTCGGTGCTGGGATAGAACCTAGGACTTCAAACATGCTGGGCAGATAGGTGCACTGCCTCTTAAGTTTTTATCATTAGTCTCTGGAGTAATCTGACTTCCCTGAAATGCCTCTTGTCCTTGGCTCTGACCATGCTACCCCAATTCTCATTGCTGCTGCTCCTTTTGGAGGAGTTCCACCAGATTTTGTTTTCAGCACTCAATCCTCAAAGGATTCTGATCTCTTTTGCTCTTACCATGGTTTATCCCAGATCATTAATCATGGTTTTTCTCACTTCTTGAAATAGCTATAATCTACATGCTAGTGAAACAAAGATGCATGTTTTCCATCTCTAAGTAAGTAGTGGATGGTGCTTTTTCTAGACTGTCAACTTAGAAGGGAACTGTGACTTGCTCTTGTTTTCTCAGTAGCCTTTACATAGCACTGTGCTTATCTTGACCTTAATTAAGAAAGTGAAGTGCAGCCGCTGCTCAGAGTAGAAAATTAATTTGGAAAGAATTTACTTCTTCAGAGATGACAATTGAAACAGAAGCACCATAAAGGTTGGGGACTGAGGATTGCCAGGGGCAGTTTGTCTTTTCTTTTTAAACATGTATTCATTTGTTATGTATATAATGTTCTGGCATGTAGAGGGTTGTGAGCCACCCTGTGGTTGCTGGGAATTGAACTCAGGACCTCTGGAAGAGCAGCCAGTGCTCTTAACCTCTGAGCCATCTCTCCAGCCCCAGTTTGTGTTTTCTTAAAGTGTGAGAAAACACACAACTGAGTTTGCTTCTGTTATGCCTTTGGCCCTTGTTTCTCCATCCACAGGTCTGTATTGTCCAGTGCTGAGAACTCATGATGTGACCCTCTAGCCTCTCCAGTTGTAGGCCACTAGGCCCAGACTTTTTTTATCTTTACTTTTTTAAAAGAGCAATTTGGGAGGGCTGGAGAGAAGTCTCATTAGTTATTAACACTTCTGCTCTTGAAGAGGACCCAAGTTTGGTTCCCAGCAGCTACAACAGGTGCTTCACAAGCCCCTGTAACTCCAGCTTCAGGGGATCCAACACCCTCTTTGACACCCACTGACACCTGCATGCACGTGTGTGTGTGTGTGTGTGTGTGTGTGTGTGTGTGTGTGTGTGTGCGCGCGCGCGCGCGCGCTCCCTCCCTCCCTCCCTCTCCCTCTTTCTCTCTCTCTCTCTCTCTCTCTCTCTCTCTCTCTCACACACACACAATTAAAAACTTTAAAAGAGCAACTTTATCTCCCGTTTTAAATTAAAGATCACCTTAATTCTTCCCACCTCAGATAGTAAGTGGTGCACCAGATGAAGAATAGTGCGAACTCGATGTGATCTCGTTGGGTGATAGAAGTAAGAGGCACTTGGAGATAACTAATGAAAATGTTACTTCTTTTGGAGATGAGGTTGAATGAACTTTGCAGGAGAAAAGATTAGTATCTGTCAAAACATTGAGCTGGTTAACAGAGTGTCTGGACAGTAATCTTTTAGGAAAAATACATTTAGTCAAGACAGAAGTGGAAAAGAAATACCAAACCAAACCCCCCCCATGCCCCGAGGTGATCACTGTTCTGGTTTGTGTGTTTCTTTCAAGAGTGACGTTTTTTATTCTGGGGTGCATCTATTATTATAAATTTTATTTATTGAGACAGGCTCTCACACAAGCTTAGAATGGTGTTGAACTTGTGGTGTTCCTCCTGCCTCAAATGTCTGTGTGCTGGGATTGCAGAGAAGAGCTATCATGCTAGGCTCATATAGCTTTTTTCCCCCCAGTGGGCAATTGAATCCAGTGCCTTGCACATTCTAGACAAAGACTCAGACCCTTTAAATACTTGTAAAGCAACTGCATAATAATTTATGGTCTGGATATATTTTGATTTAACTGTTACAAGGGCATTGAGGTTAATTGTATTTTCTCATCTTAAGTAGGGCTGTAGTGGATATCTTTTCCCTTAGTTCTGATGGATTGAAGGGAGTTATGAAGAAAAGGATACTGGAACCTGATTGAGCACCTCTAGTTTTTGGAGCACCCAGTGTTTATTTTCTGGTCCCTGTTGTTTGGGAGCAGCCAAAAATCTATTGTTTTATAGTGGGCAAGAATAACATTTGCTGCTTGCTCTTTGGGGCTAATGGAGAAAATTCTGGATACAAGAAGTTGGCTAAATCGCCTTTTTTTCTCCCCCTTTAGTTCTTGACATCATGAATCCTGTTTATAGCCCTGGGTCTTCTGGGGTTCCCTATGCAAATGCCAAAGGAATTGGATATCCAGGTAAGCAAGTTGAATTTTGTTTTCCTTATTGACCTTTAAACATTTTATGTCCACATAGCATAAACATTTACAGTGGCTGTGCTGACTAATTTTATGTCAGCTAGATGCAAGCTAAAGTCATTTGGGAAGAGGGACCCTCAATTGCAAAAATGACCCACCAGATTGCCCTGTCCCAGATTGTATAAGAAAGCAAGCTGAGCAAGCCATGGGAAGCAAACCAGTAAGCAGTGTTACACCATGACTTTTGCTTCCCTTCCCTCCCTGACTTCCCTTCATGCCGGACTGTCAGCTGTAAGATTAAATGAACCCTTTCTCCTTCAAGTTGCTCTCAGACATGGTGTTTTATCACAGGAATAGGAACTATAAGACGGGTAAACCTAAGGGAGGGAGGGAGGGAGGGAGGGAGGGAGGGAGGGAGGGAGGGAGGGAGGGAGGGGAGAAAAGTCAAGAGATGTCTGGGTCTGGCCTTACACAGAGCTGTGGGTGGGGCCAAGACCTTCTTTCTCTACCTCCCAGTTCGTCCCATTTTCTCAGTATTTATGGGGTTCAGCCCTTTTGAGTAGGAGTCTCATGGTCTCTGCCATATAGGAAAGCCCAGTGTGGTTTCACAGTCCCTGTTCACACCTTTCTTGGGGCTTGTCCTGGTTGAACATGACTTCCATCTCCCTAGATAGAGGGGAGGTCCTATTGAATAACTTAAGGAATGTACCCCATCCTCACTTTAGTGAGTGGAGTCTGTCAGAGCTGAACTGGGGGAGGCCATAAAGCAAAACACTGGGGAACCGGGACTTTGGTCAAAAATTGCAGACAGTTGTCCTAATTGGTGACTAAACAAGAAGTAGTTATTTGTATGTTACAGTTTCATAGTGGGTCCTTCCCCTTTGAGTACTGAGGATGGAACCCAGAGCCTTGTGTATGCTCTGTAGCTGCTGCTGCTCACTGTATTTTTACCCCTTTTGTATTTTTGAGAAAGGGATTTGCTAAGTTATTTAGGCTGTCCTTGAATTCCCTTGGCTTGGCAATCTCTGTGCCTCAGCCTCTGAAGTGGCTGGTGTTGCAGGATTGTCATGCCTCGCCTTCATTCTGGGGCTTCAGATACGTTGGGGACAACCATCTTGGGACAAAACTCTAAGGAAATGGAGCAAAACTGAACTTGTAAGACGGGAGAGAAGTGTTCAGCCAGATTTGAAAGTGACGCAAGCCCATTTCGCTCGGTCAGAGAGTTGTAGATACTGTCTGCCCTGAGTATTTGCTGCTGTTTGTGGTATTCTAGCTGCCCAAATGGGGACAGAACAGGGTGCTTAGAATCTCCTGTGTGCTGGGAGTACAGTCACTAGGCTCCTCAGGCAATCTCTCTTGGGAGTGGTCCTCTCACCAAAGGGGTGGAGAGGGTGTGTTTGCTGGCTCCACAGGAAAGCTTGTGAGTCTATAAGGGCTCTGAGAAGAGCAGTGCTTGTAGACATTCTGGGGCACTGAGGCTCTAGTTCGTGTTACTTATACTTCCTAGTGGGGACATCCAGAAGTTGACGCCATCCAACATACTCTCTCTGCTGCCTTATCCCTGGAGTACCTGACAGCAGCAGATGCAGAATTACTGTGAAGTTTTTGTCTGAAATATGAGTTGTTTGGCCTTCCCGCAGAAAGTACTACCTGCTCATGTGCAAAATTATTACAAAACACGGGTGCTATTGGGAAAAGCCACTGGTCAGAATAATTACTGCATTGGAACCAGCAGGTAGAAGCCATGTCACAAGAAAGTTTAGAATGCTTGCACAACAGCCAAATTTCTAAGTGGAGAACAAGTTGAAGACGGATTAACTAAAAGAAATGGGGTTCAGGATAGTTAGTCCAGTGAGATCTAGAGTAATTTGAAGACAGAACACTGTTGAGAGTGAACCAAAGTGTAAAAGACTTGAGGAACTAGACTGACCAATTAAGAACTTTGAAGACTGGAGAGATGGCTCAGTGTGGACCTGAGTCGGGCCCCTATCAGACAGCTCAGTTGCTCTTTCTCCAGCTGCAGGAGAGGTGATGCCCTCTTCTGACCCCTTAGTTACCTACTTAAACCTGTGCACATTCTAATGCATACACAAACACGTGGGTTTTTGTTTTGGGGTAAAGTAAGAGAGGAAATAGACTGGTTAAGAACTGTGAGCATCACATCAGAAGAATTTAGAGAAATTAGAAGGAGAAAGGGACAACTTTTCAGTTGATGAAAAGCAGTTTGGTGATAAGACCTACTGTTTTTAAAGTGTTAACACTGGTTTAAATGGAATAGCTGAAGAGGATCCTGAATAAATATGGAGCCGGAGCAATAACCAAACACCCATGATATTAGTTTACCTGATAAGTCTTCTTCTGGGACTTGGATTCTCTGCTCATCAGGCTGGCGAGGCTGTGGTACTGAGAGGTGCTGACTTTGTCCCTGCCTCTTGTGCAGGCAGGCAGGGGTTGGCACACCCTGTGTGAGACCCAGGTTAAGGCTCTGTGGATGTGCTTCAGCACCAGGCAGCTCTGACAAAGCCTTGGTGTATCTGCTGGCCCTTTGGCTGTCTCTTACTGACCAGTCCTCCGTGAGAGGACTTTTAGAGTAAACCGTTACTTTAGGTGTCTTGTTTTTGTTTATTTTGTTTTTATTTATTTTTTTATTGAGAGAGGGAACTCTGAAACAACCTTCAGTGTCATTTATGTAGTGTTTTATACTTTAGTTACCTTCTGTGTATTTTTGGTTTGACTATTTTAAAGTCTCCCTGAGGATACTGGGTCCTAGTATCTAGGGCACCAGATATGTGGAATATGTGCTCATCGAATCTTAGGCCAGCATAACTTCAGCACAAAGGTTGATGGGACATGGAGGGAAGTCTTTCTCCGAATGCTGTCTTGTGTAATGATTATTGGTATTAATTATTGTTTGTTACTGTTTCCTCATTTGTTTGGTTTTAATATCCCCCCCCCCGAGATAGAATTTTTCTGTGTAGCTTTGGAGTCTGTCCTGGAACTCTCTCTGTAGACCAGGCTGGCCTTGAACTCACAGAGATCCATCTGTCTGCCTCTGCCCTCTGAGTGCAGGGATTAAAGGTGTGCGCTACCACCTGGTTTTTAATTTTACTTAATGTGTTTAATACAGGTAATAGAAGTGGAATATAATGTCAGGTTCTCTGGCTTTGAGCCACCATGTGAGTGCTGGGAATTGGACTAGGGTTCTCTGTAAGAGCGATATCTCCAGCTCATTTCCTCATTTATAACACCTGGTTTTCTTCATTTCCGTTTATTCCTTGCCGTGTTTTTAAAGGGATTTATTACATTTAATTATCGTGTGTCGTATACATGTGCCGTGTTGTGCCTGGGGAAGTCAGAGAACAACTTAAGGGAGTCAGTTCTCCTTCCACGATGTGGATCCCAGCAATCCAACACAGGTTGTTAGGCTTGGCAACAAGTTCTTTAACCTACTGAACTTTCTTGCTTGCCTTGCCATGGCTTTTTTCTTTGTGTGTGTGTGTGTGTGTGTGTGTGTGTGTGTGTGTGTGTGTGTGTGAGAGAGAGAGAGAGAGAGAGAGACAGAGAGAGAGAGAGAGACAGAGAGAGAGACAGAGAGAGAGAGAGACAGAGAGAGAGAGAGACAGAAAGAGGGACAGAGGGGGGGGGGGGGGACTGATTCTCACGTGTTCTTGGTATCTTTTGGACTAAGGAAACTTTTATTAATCTTCTATTAGCTTTTATACTTTGTTGGAACAGTGTTTGATGATATAGCTCAGGCTGGCCTCTAACACTCAGCCCTCTTTTGTTCAGTAATTACGGGTGTGAAACATTGTGTCCAGTTAAGAAAATACCGTCACATTTTGTACTGTGTCTTTATATGCTATTGCTCACCTTAAGGTGCACGGGTTTGTTGTTGCTTGTTATGGGACAGTGTCTCTGTGTAGCCCTGGCTGTCCTAGAACTTGCTTAGCAGACCAGGGTGACCTCAAACTCAGACAACAGCCTGTCTCTGCCTCCTGAGTGCTAGGATGAAAGGCATGCGCCAACATATTTCTGAAATAAGCCATTTAAAATAAAAAAAAAGTCTTCCCTGCAGCTTGTCGCTGAATTTGTGTGTGGTATGTGTGGTGATGGGGTGTGGATGGGTGGATGGTGTGTGTAGTTGAGAAATGCGGTATGGATGTGGGGGGGGTTGACGTCTGTTTTGCTTATATTTTAGTGATGTAATTTTGTTTTCTATAATGTCTGTTAATTATCACAAACTTTGTATATTAAAACAATAGAAATTTATGTCTTCATGTTCTCAGAATCCAGAAGTCTGAGATTAAGGCACTAGCAGAGCTATTTTTCCTCTGGGCTCTCTGACGAGAGTCCACTTGAGCTTGTCCCCTTCTGACTGTCCTTCCATTTTTTGCCTCTGCTCACACGCTCTCTTCCTTTCCTGTGTGTTTTAGTAAGAATGTTTACCATTGAGTTCAGGGCACAGTCATATCTCTGGCCTTTTTCCATATAAGGTCATAGTCATAAGATTCCAGGGATCTGATGATCTTTTGGGGGGATTCTCCCTCCCTTTTAAATCTCCAACATTGAATATGTTGACAGTTACTCTCTATGCCAAGGAGGTAGAGCTGATATTGAAGGAGACAGGCCTTGGTAACAACACCTGGAGGACCTTTTCAGGAAGAGCGTTAGGATTGCAAGGAGACAGAATTGCCAAACCTTGCTGCTTGAAGCCTGCAGACTAGAGGTTAAGAGTGAGAGTCTGGTCTGCTGTCATTTTGCAGCTGGCTGAGGCAGTGTGCAGGGAGGGCCTTGCAGAGCTGCTGCCCTGGGCTTTGTGCTGCCTGGGAGGTGGGCTGTGTTCAGTTTAGGTTGGGGTGAAGAGTAGAATGACTCCCAGGTGGCTGAAGGGATGGAGCAGGGCGGGTATAGAAGCAGCATGGCTCCTCAGGAGATGGAGAGAGGGTGTTGATGCCCACAGACCAGGTGTGTCATGACACCGTCCATTAAACTAAGTGCCATTAGTGTGTTTTTTGTTTAATTTCAGAGTGTATTAACACACTGTTAGAAGGTTGGGATGGACTCTCTGGAGAGTCCTGAAGGGTTATGAGGGAGATATGAGGGAATTTTGATTTTTGTGGCAGTTATTAAAGAGGACTGTGGGATATGACCTAGTTAGTGGCATTTCTGACTTTTCAAAAATAAATCATTAAGTTTTTTCCCCTAACTGATTCTCTGGTTCCTGAGCATTGTCTTGGTGAGTGGATCCTGCTTGACCTGGCTTGCTTTGGGTCTATGGTGGCTGTCAGGGTTGGTCCACAGAACATTTGTGGAAGTCACTGCCATTGGTGTCCAAAATAAGTAAAGCTGATACAACATCTGTGTACTGCACACTGTTTTACTGACTGGAGAAGGCGAGTGGAAAAGAAGGAAACCAGAAGAGAAGCTGACCAGTCCTGCTAAGGTAGAGGAGAATCTGAAGATCGAGGGAAGCCCCTGGAGGCTGAGGCTTCAGCAGAAGAGAACTGAGTCCTTGCAGGGATTGCTGTGCACAGTTGGAGTGGTGGCCCCATTCCAGCACAGACCTTCAGGGTTGTTCAGGAAGGCTTTGGGGAGGTGGGATGGTGAAGCAGGACTTCATGTGAGGACACTCTGGCCGTAACAGCTTGTCGCCCTGTGGGTCACTAGGGTTGGTATGGCTGATTTGACTGGCTAAGCGGGTGCCCCCTCCTCCCTTACCACTGCCTGTGAGCTCTTCCCTAAACTGTACACTCAGGTGACTTTCCCTGACAGAGGAACACTATTTTCAGCTGAGGCAGCAGTTCTCAACCTGTGGGTCATGACCCCTTTAGGGGGAGTCAAATAACCCTTTCACAGGGATTACCCTAAAACCATCAGAAAACACAGATTCATAACAGTAGCAAAATTATAGTTATAAAGTAGCAACAAATAATTTTATGGTTGGGGGTCACCAGAGCAAGAAGAACTGTATTATTACAGCATTATGAAGGTTGAGAACCACTCGGCTAAGGCTTTATGAATGGCTGCTTTGCCGTAGTAGATCTGCACATAAGGGGCCCCAGCCAAAGGAAGAAGGTGCTTGTTTCTAAGCACAGCAACCTGACTTCGATCCTTGTAGCAGGCTTTCTTTTTGGCCACCAATCGGCTCCCAAATCGTGACATGGCCTTAGCTTTGGTTATCCCATTAGCTCTTACAACTTAACCTCTTTCTCTTCATCTACGCTTCGCCTCAGGGCTTTTTACCTTCCTTCCTTCCTTCCTTCCTTCCTTCCTTCCTTCCTTCCTTCCTTCCTTCCTTCCTTCTTTCTGTATATCTTATTGTGACTGCTTCTCATGTCTGGCTGGCTGACAGCTGCCTGGCTTCTGGCCCCAGACTTGTTCCTCTCTTATCTCCTTCATTCTCTTATTCTCTAGATTTCTCCTCCTACTTACTCTCTCTGCCTGCCAGCCCTGCCTATCCCTCTCCCGTCTAGCTGTTAGCTGCTCAGCTTTTTATTAAACCAGTCAAGTGTCTAGGCAGGCAGAGTGAATCAAATGTAACACATCTTTACATAATTAAACAAAAGGCAGGCAAGGTGAAACAAAGCAACGCATCTTTACATAATTAAACAAATGCAGCAGAAACAAATGTAACACACCTTCATATAGTTAAAGTAATATTCCACAGCATAAACAAGTATAATACATCTTTGCCTAGTTAAAATAATATTCCGAAACAGATCCTGGAGACCCACTTGGTAGCAGGAGAGGAGGAACTTCTGTAAGTTCATGGCACACTGGAGCTCATACCCATTTACACACAAAATAGTAAATGTAATAAGAATTTAAGACAACAGCAGCAACAATGAAAATATCTGAAAAAGTCACCTCCAAAGAATATCTCAAGAAAAGGAACTTTAGTCAAAACCTTCAAAGAACCCTTTCCTCGCCCATGCAGATGCATGCACACAGACACAGATGCATGCATTTTTTGCCTCTAGTTTTTGCCGAGTTCTGAGTGTCTTCACTCTGGGAGCTTCCCTAAGGGGTTATGATACCACCTGCCTTTAGTCCCAGCAGTTGGGAGGTATAGGCAAGGATCACAACTTCAGGGTCATTCTCAGTTAACATAGTGAGTTTGAGGATAGCCTGGACTACATGAGTCTATGTCTCACAAAACAAACAGCAACAAAGCCCTCCATCTTGAGTGCCCTTGGTGACACCTTTGGACGACCTCAGCACAGTCTTGGTAGGAAAGCAGCACAGCTCCTCACAAGCAATAGTGGTAGTTAGTAGTCAAGGCTTGGGGTGCTGGGCCCTTTGCCCAGAGGCTGTGAAGACTTCTTGCTGTCCTGCTGTCCTGCTGCCAGGAGTGCTAGGTGAGCGTCTGAGGCTCCCTTGCCTGGTGGACACCACAAGGACAGGGCTCTGTTAAATATCTTACTTGATATATCTGTGTGATTGTGTCTGTGGCTGTGGGTTAGTGTGACTAAAGACTTGGTTGTATCATGAAAAGTCACCTTGGGTGCTGGAGACATGGCTCATGTGAAAAGCACTTGCTGCTGCTCTGGGAGAGAACCAAGTTCTCTGTTACTAGCACTCAAGTAGTAGCTTACAACTGTTTGTCTGCTAGCTCCAGGAGTTTGACACCAACTTCTCACCTCCAATGGCACCTGTACCCATGTGGGCACATACAGACAATCAAGCACAGATGTATGCGTGAAAATTTAAAAATTAAAAGGTAATCTTCAGCAGGGTATGTCAGTACATGCCTATAAGTACGTCCTCCATAGGCAGTGGCAGGAGGCTCCTGTCTCTAAGAAAGAAACAGATGATCTTGCTTCTGTGTGGATTCTGATTGAGTTTTCCTATTCTGGGCATCTTTGAGGTTAATTAGAGCCCCCTTAGGTAGACGACTGGAGTATAATGATATTGACAACTTAGGCTCCTAACTGGCCACCTTGAACTAAGGGAGCTGGAGATTAGAATTTCAGAAATGTGAAGACCTCTGAAATGAATTTGAACAAGAACAGACATTACTAGCTTTTAAATACAATACTGTAACTCTGTCTTTGCAGTCACTGAGAATGTGTGACCTTAAAACACCTACCTCTGTATCAGCAAAAAGTAGGCTCTAGGGTGGGTCCAAGCTCACTTTGAATCTTGGTTCTTTGTGCAGTGAAGCCAGGTGAGGATAATGACTTAGTGCGTGATGCTGAGTGTTCTTGCTGACTTAACATTTTTGGTTATGAGCCTAGCCTTTAACGGCTGAGCCATTTCTCCAGCCCTCTTGCTGACTTACAAATGATGCGATTCTGTGGTGAAACTGCCAGGGATGTTGGGATTTTTAGACTCCATCTTGGATTCTTCTCCCTTCTTCCCTTTTTCCTTATGCTAAAAATTATGACTTAGCTGTTCATCTATTCTTTTTTAATCTAGACAGGTTCATGCTGTGTGTAGTCCTCATTGGTCTGGAACTCAGCTACTTAGCTGCCTCCCAAGTGCTAGGATTAAAGATGTGTACCACCATACCTAGCTTTACTTGTCTGTTCTTATAGAGTAGTTTTGGCCCTGGGATTGAACCTAGGGTCTTGCACATGCTAAGGGTATACTCTATACTAAGTTGCACACCTGCCCTTTGATTCAGCTATTCTGGACAGTGGACTGCTAACTCAATTTCCACCTAGTTGTAGAATGCGAGCATTTAATTATAGGTCTAACAGACTAGGTTACATTTTGTGACTCGTCAAAATTCTGAGAAAATTCTAGAGACAATTTTGTTCGAGCACAGTGTGTGGAGTTCTACAATCAGCGATAAGGAGGCTTGGTGTTCAGGTGGCTGCATTTCATTGATAATGCTATTGTGCTGTGTGTTTTCCTGCAGCTGGTTTTCCTGTGGGCTACGCAGCAGCTCCTGCCTATTCTCCTAACATGTACCCCGGAGCAAATCCTACCTTCCAAACAGGTATGTACTGCATGACAGGTATCTTGTGGATAGCTGGGGGAGGAGGTGTGGAATTAGGATTTGTGGTTGGGTGGCTTTCTACGTTGATAAATGAACCTGTCGATGAGTTTAATCAAAACTTAGTTCTGAGTGCATATAAGCTCTGCTTTACTGAGTTTCTCAGGGCCTCGCACTGCAGTCTCTGGGCTATATGGATAATTCTTTGTGCCAGATATCTGTTCTTAGCATAGGACTTAATGCTCGGAACTGAAGACCATTTTGTCATTGAGTTCTGTCCATAGCGCTGTGGTTATATCTTAAAAAGCAAACTTGTGTTTGAGAACATTTTCAGATTTGAGAAATTGCTGGTTAAAATTGAAAATGAGTTTGTTTGACTCTGAATTTCATTAAGATTGTTTAGTGAGATTTTTTTCCTACATCTCCGGTGTGGGCTGTCAACTTCTCTTGAGCTTTACTTACTCAGGACAGTGTGATTCCTTTGAGAGTGTTGGCTCATGCTTTGACATAGAGCTGAGCTTGACCCATGGGAAGGCTGCTGGGAAGAAACCAGCAGTGCCCTTCCTGTGAATTCCTTGCTTGTGACTCATATAGTCTACCCTTCTATCCATCTCTTCTGTGCCTAGCCTGACTGCCTTTCTTAGCTCAGACCCAAAGAAAAATTTGGACATGGTGTTTCTGCTTCAGTGGTTTTTGTCCTAGGTTCATATTCCTGCTCACTTAAGTCATGTGAGTGTACATGACTGTATGCCCAGAAGAAGTTTAATGGGAGACAAGAGTCCCTGCTTGAACCTCCTAGCTCTTTCCCATAGTGGTTTCTCTCTCTCCATCTTGTGAGTTTTGTCTCGTTCCTTTTCACACACTTGGCCCCCTGTGCCTGCCATTAGATTGCTGTGAAACATCTTCAGCAGCTGGTCCACAGTGTTTCTCAGCAGGGGTGCCAACAGGTTCTGCCACCCTGTTCCTTTTGCTAAGATACTTTACATTCTGTAGCTTCCCTTCAAACAGTGCTCTTGTGTATATAACACAACAAACTGCACATACTTATAGCATATGTTTCATCATTTTTGCTGTGACGTGTACCTCTATCACAGTTGATAGTGAACATACCTGTTTGGGCAAATTTTGTTCTGCCCATTTCAACTTTACTGGGTGCCAAAGAATCACAGATGTGTTTTCTCTTGGAATAGGTGAGTTGTTTTCTAAATTTTTGTATAACTGGAATCACATAAAATGCACTTGGTCATTGTGGGACTGACATCTTTTACTGGATGTGTAAGTACTTGGACTTTCCTGTTGTGGTACCTGTTACTACTTCCTCTCTTCTTTTGCTAAATTGGGAAACATCACTTGCTTGTCTGTTGACTAGCTACTGGCATTTGTGCTCTTTGAGTTTGGGTGTTTGCATATAAAATTCATTTTGCAGATTTTCTGGATGTTTTTAGCATAAGTCTATGGATATGCTTTCTTTTTCTTTTCTGTTTTTTTCTTTTTTCTTTTTCTTCTTTTTTTTGAGTAAATGCAAAGGGATGAAGTAGCTGATTCTTAGGGCAAGTAAGAAACTGCCAAGAAAGTCTTCCAGAGTGACTGCTATTTATGTTCCCCTCTGTCATGTATTTATTAGTTCCAGGCCTCTGCCATTTGTAGCTCTGGTGTGATCAGTCTTTTCTGTCTTTGCTGTACTAGTGGGTATCTAATGATTTACAGTTATAGTTTTGTTTTGAACTGCCATGACAGTCACATTGATCTTTTCATGTGTTAATCTACCATTTGACTGACTTTGGTAAAGAGTTGTGTTTCTGGGCCTGGTCTACCAGATACTGTGGGGGCTGATGCAGAAGAATCCTAATTCAAGGCCTGTCTGTGCTACAGAGTGAGTTCAAGGCTAGCCTGCACAACTTAGAGAGACTCCAGTTTCCTATAAAAAGTGAATGAGGGACTGGAGACCGAGAGATGGTTCAGTGGTTGAGAGCAGTTGTTAACATTGCAAATTTCAGGTCCTAGTACCCCTGTGAGGCAACTCACAACTACCTATAACTGCAGCTCCAGGGGATCTGATGCTAATCTGCACACAGGTGCAGACACTAACATAATTAAAAACAAATACATCTTTAATTAAAAAAGTAGAATGAGAACTTTGGGTAAAATCAGTGATGGAGCAGTTGGCAGCTTGTGCGAGGACCTGGGTTCAGTCCCTACTAACACCCCTCCAAAAGGAAGAGAATATGCATATCTTTAACAGTATTAGTTACTACGTTTGTTTTTTAAGGCAGTTAGCAATGTATTTGTATAGATTTTGTTTGAAGATTTGTTTTTGTTTTCTGTATGAACATTTGTGTACATGTATGTATGCTCACCACATGCATGCCAAGTACCTGCAAAGGTCAGAAGAGACTGATGGTTCCCCTGAAACTGGAGTTACAGGTGGTGTGAGCCACCATGTGCATGCTGAAAACCAAACCTGGGTCCTCCACAAGAGTAGCAAGTGCTCTTAACTTCTTAGGCATCTTTCCGGCCCACTTTTTTAAGTGTGTGTGTTCTTGTGTGCGTTTCTTTGTAGCATGTGCAGGTGCCCCAGAAGCCAGAGAGAACATGAGATCCCCTGGATCAGGAGTTAGGGGCAGTTGTGAGCTACCTAATATGGGTGCTGGGAACTGAACTCAGGCCTTGTGCAAGAGCAGTATGCATTTTTAATCATTGAGCCATCTATGCAGTGCGTGTCTCTTCCCACTCTCCCCACTCAGAATGTCTTGAACGCCTGGGCCTTAGCCTCCTGAGTAGCTGAAGGTGAGCTGTACTACTCACCTGCTTAGAGACCAAGTTTGTTCTGTTGCTGAGTTGTTTTTTGTTTTGTTTTGTTTTTTTGGGGGGTTTTTTGTTTGTTTGTTTTTACGAGACAGGGTTTCTCTGTATTGTTTTGGAGGCTATCGGTCCAGTCCAGCCTCGAACTCACAGAGATCTACCTGCCTCTGCCTCCCGAGTGCTGGGATTAAAGGCGTGCGCCACCACCGCCTAGCTTGTTGCTGAGTTTTTAAGAATTAATTTTTTTTTAATCAGATTCATGATTACATGGGCTTTTCTCCTAGTTTTTTCCTCCTTCTATATGTCTTTCACAGAGCAGAAGTTTTAAAAATTTGATGAGGTTCTTTTGTGGACTACATTTCTGGTATCCTGAAAATCTGCCCCAAATGATGATTTTCTTCTTCTTTTTTTTCCCAGCAGTTTTAGCCGGTACATTTGGGGCTTTCATTCATTTGGAGCTAATTGTATGTAGCACTTGGTTAGATTGGAATGCATCTTTGTGGATTAGTGCTTCCTGCACTCATGCTGTAGCACACCATTTGTACTTACCTCCTTACTTAACACCAGCTTTCTTCCTAGAGTACAAGCCGATGTGAAAAGGGCTAAAGACTTTCTACCAATTTTCATAGTTTTCCTAAGAATGCCAAAAGCAAGGGTGTGGGGCGGGGACAGATGATAACCACCTTTCTCGGCTCTCCTGCTAGAGAGAAGAGTCCTTTCTCGTCCTCTTTTCAAGACCGCTCTCAGATGAATCCTTGAGTGCAGAAGCAGTAGGAGCAGCAGTGACCCACACTCCTGCCTTGGAAGTCTTTGTTGAAGAGTGCCAGACCCCTTGGCTGCCAGTCTCTTTAGTTGTGCTTTTGTTTTCAAGAGGCTTGGGATAAAGATGCTTATGTGAAATTGGTGAAGATAGGGGGAACTTTGAAGTCCTTACTGTCTCACCATGTAAATCAGAGCTGTGTGCTCCTGTTTTATGGGTTTTTGACATGTCATCTCCCTCTTCGGAGGACTAAGGCTAGCTCGTCACTGTAGACACAATAAGACGGGGAGTTTTTGTGAGTTTTGCTGCTTTCTTGATTGTTCTAGCACAGAGGTGCAGGTCTGCGGGGCTTCCTGGGCACCTTTGCGATGCTGTGGTCCTTCTTTTTCTTTCTTTAAAGATTTATTTTTGTTTGGTCTGTGTATGAATGTATGTCTGTGTACTGTGTGCATGCTTGGTCTGCAGAGGCCAGGGAAAGGCATCAGAGCCCCTGGAACTGGAGTTACAGGTGGTTGTGAGCTGCCATGTGGATGCTGGGGCTGAACGTGGATCCTGTGCAAGAGCAGTGAGTGCTCTTAACCCTGAGCCACCCTTTTTCCTTAGTCCACTTGTGTGTCATGCGAGTCTGAGAACCTTTGGGTTTGTGGTGGCTTCTGGTGATAAGTTCTATTACATGATCCATTTATTTTGAACAGACGAAGGCTGCAGACAGATACATCTGGGAGGGGCTTTCCATGCTTGTAATCTCCATAGGAACTGAGCTAGTGAAGCTTAACTCCTGGTGGTGGCACTCTGGGAACTGCAATTCATTCCTGGTGGAACTTGGGCTGTGTTGTGGGAGCATCATGATCAGACTTGGGCAGGTTAGGCACTTGGTCTCACTGAATGACTCAGGTGCATTAATGATCTGAAAGCCTCAGGGAAAAGTGCTTACTGTGTAGCACTCGATGACCGGGAAGTCACTGTGAAACAGGACAATCTGAAACTCACAGGGATCTTCCTGCCTCTGCCTCTGCCTCTGCCTCTGCCTCTGCCTCTGCCTCTGCCTCTGCCTCTGCCTCTGCCTCTGCCTCTGCCTCTGCCTCTGCCTCTGCCTCTGCCTCTGCCTCTGCCTCGCTTTTTTAAATTAAAGCAAGGGGCTGATGGTGTGGCTTAGTTGGTAGAGTGCTTACCTCGTTTGGACAGTCCCCAGATTACAGAAACTCAGAATGGTGGCTCATTGGAGCTAGAGGCAGGAGGATGGGAAATTTCGGATAGTCTTCTGCTATGGAGTGAATTCAAGTTCTTCCTGGGCTGTGTGACACTGTCTCGGGAGGGAGGGAGTTTGCTACCACCATGTTTAAACGCCTGTCTATCCTGACCCCATTGCACTCCCGCTGCCTTGATTTTGTTGTAGCTCCTCCTGTGTTCCCAGGGTATTGACTTGACTGTCAGGTTACTGTTTTGTTCTTAAGGACTTGGCTTTGGGGGACAAGGATTTACTTGTTCCTTTAAGAGCCTGCCCTGTCCTTACTGTGCCCTGCCATGTGTATGCGGTGGGTCTTCTTCTGTCTGTTTTCCCTTCCTGGTGCTTCTCAGGCTTAGTAGGACTCTCCTCTCTACGTGTCAGGACTCTTGAGTTTCTGGTCCATGGGCTATCCCGGTAATCTCCTTCCTGGGGCTCCTTTGGAAGCCCTCGCTCGCGCTGTAGCCTGAGTCCTAGTCTGGGTCACTCTTCCGCAGAAGCCTGAGGCTTTTGCCTTGCTTCCCTTCGGTCCTCGCTCTCTTTTGTAGTTCCTACTTTGCTTTTATGTAGTTCCTTCAGTAGCTTCCAAAGAGATTGTGAGGGGGGTATGTTTTAAGCAACCCCTCCCCCCCAAAAAAGCATTTTCTGCACCTATACCCCACCTCCCAGTAGTTCTCTGCAGAGTGGCTTATGGGCTAACAGCCATTGCTCCTAGGATTGTGAAGGCATCACACTGAGAAATGGCCAATAGTTCTGTATATTTGGAATGAGGTTCTACTTAATGCTACATATTGAATCTGTTTATGAAGTTGAATTTACATCTTTTGCCTCCTTTAAATCTGTAACAGCTTGCCTAACCTTAAAAATACTTTGTCTTTTTTTAAAAAATGATTTTTTGTTTGTTTTTGTTTGCAGTGCTGGAGATTGAACCCAGGGTCTTGCACATGTTAGGCAAGTGCTCTCTCTGAGCTATGTTCTTGGCCCTTTGTGTTTTGTTTGTTTTGTTTGTTTGCCTTTAAGATTTAAACACTCATGTGTATGAGTGTTTGCCTGCATGTATGTGTGTGCACCATATGTGTGCCCAGTGCCAGAAAAGGCCAGAAGAGTGTGTCAGATCCCCTGGAACTGGAGTTACAGATATTTGTGAGCTGCCGTGTGAGTGTTGGGAACTGAACCCAGGTCCTGTAAGAGTAACCAGTGCTCTTAACTTGAGCACTCTCTCCAGCCTATACACTATGTGTTGAATTGGAGTTGAAATGTGCAGCCTAAGCTTACCTTGAATTCTCATCCTCTCGCCTCAGCTTACTGAGTGCTTAAGAGTCTAGGTTTCATTAGAAATGATTTCAGGTGCATACCCAAGCTTGAGAGTACAGGCCCTACTTTTGTAATCACTTGGCTTTGGTTGCTACCAGCTCAGAGTTGGTACTTCATCTATAGTGCCATTACTTTTCCTGTTACTTTGAAGCAACTCTCATACATCATGTTGATGGTTTTTAGAAATATCTCTCATAAAAGCATATATAATGCTGTCATCATACCTAAAGTATTCATTATTAGTGCTCCAGTTTCCAGATATGTTATCTTTATCATGAGTGCTTACTTTTGTTTCTTTTATTGTGCACTGTAGAAAATGGGCCTTGTTTTTTTAAAGCCATGTGAAAACTGACTAGCACTAAAAGTTCTGAATGTGGTTCCAGATAACACCTAGCATCTGTTCTTAAAGTGCAACACACTTGAGCATTTTAAGTGTGGTAGTAGTGATTCCTCAGAGGATTTCACTCTCCCTTTTGTATTTTTGGTTTTAAGCAATGCATCCATAATGGCCTCAGATCCATAGTCTCCTGCCTCCGCTTTCAGAGTGCAGGGATTGCAGACATGTAAGTCTGGCAAGATGGCTCACTTGAGGTTCATGGAAATAATGGGGCAGAGGTTAGGTTGGAGTAATCGAGTGGGATCAAGGTTTGTACGGCCACCTGTGATGTGGTTGTTCTGTCGGGTGTGATTGTGGCTGTGATGAGTGAAGGACTGCTTTGACAGGGAGGGGCTCAGCTTCCCTGCCCAAATCCCCCACAGTTTCTTTCTTTTATGTTCGCCTGGATCCCTGCTCAGTTAGTTTCCCTCTCCTGCCTACCTACACGTTGCTGCTAGTGTTCTACTTCCTGTGTTTCCTCCGAAAAGTCAAGTTCCTCTTGTAGAGGGTTGGATCCTTCCGGGTTGTTTACAGTAGAACCTATCTCGTGTCTGTGACAAACAGATGCTGTACTGCTCCCATGGCTTGGCCTAGTGGCAGGTGCCTACTGTTTTCATGATGAGAGCGTTCACTTGGGAGAAATTAGGGCTGTCCTAGATCTTCCTTCCCCTTGCAGTGTCACTGAAACCGGAACTGGAAGGATCTTAAATTGCTTAACTTCAATTGTTTAACTTGCAAATTTGTAATTGTCATATAATAAAGTTGAACATATTTAAAACTGTGTATACCGTCACAAAGCAAAAGCACTCCCCTGAGGATAGGTCCCACAGCCCACGTGGAGAGCACACTTAAAGTGACTTAAAGTGACTTGAAGATGCACTGTTAGGCCCGGCTCTTAAAGGTGCCTTTGCCTCGTGTGCTGCCTACTGCACTGCAGACCAGCCTTGCTTGCACGTGGGCCTCGCGAGAGAGTCCTTACTACCCAAGCCCTGACAGGCTCTTAATGCGCTCCTGCGGTGCACTTGCTCTGTAAACCCTAACGGGAAAGCTGTGTATTTGGCTCTCTTGGCAGAGCACCAGTATTGAAAGTTGGTATAGTTAAAATTGGTAGATATTGTAGAATTCATTAATTTTCTCTGCTAATAATATAATTAAAACTTTTAAATATCAAATTAAAATTGTTTATACTTGGTTCATTCTTTTAAAATTGAGGCAATTTATGCACATAATTCACATATTTAATGTGTATTTGGATGAATTCTCATAGTTGAATTTTGGCACTCTGGAGCTATCAACCCCCACCCCCAATTCTGGGGCACTTTCATTGTGCTAGAAGGACTTCCCTTTTCCTCTCCCCTTCTGATTTCTTCCAGATATTTAAAACTTTGGAATTTGAAAATATCTATGCCATGCCCATTACTTTCAAGATGGACTGGGTGGTTCTTAGATATGTAAATGATCATTTGTTATGTGCTGTTCTGTGTCTAGCTTTGAAAATTCAATGAGGTTTGAGATTCATTTGTAAAGTTTTTTTTTTAATGTTTGCTAAGTAGTGTTTATATGACTGGGTCACAGAGTCTCCTGTTGATGTGTGTAAGGCTGGAGAACATGTTTTCCAAGTTCTGTTGTGGATCCTAGAGGGTGTTGCTGGCATCTGTGAGACAAGTGTGTAGCTTGAGAGTTTGCAATTCTGACACACTCATATGGACAATTGAGTGCTCTGTGCCACAAGTTTGCCTCAGTGAGACCATGAAGGCTATCATGGCCTCTTCAGAAAGCACTTGTGCAGAGGTCAAATTGATGAGAATTGGAAGCTGCCCTCAGAGTGATGTTTGCTGCGTTGGTTGGTTGTACACTCCCAACACAGTCTGTGCTTGCATTCCTTTGAAAGATCTTGATTGCAGGATGAAAAGGTGTATGTGCCATTAATGCCAAGTTGAGCTGAGGGAGGCCATAGCCGTTTCTATTCCAGCAAGACAGGAGATTCTTGTTTTTCTGTCCTGGCCACTACCTTGAAGTTTTCAATCACTGGATTCTTCCTAGGGTTTCCTGTTGGCTCTTTGCAGCATGTATTTGTCTGGCTTTCACTAAATACAGTTATCTTGGAGCTTGTCCTGTGTATCAGTAATTGGGTACCATTGGATGCATCAGAAAATTGTTGACCAGTTGCAGTGGTCTAAATTCTCCTGACCCCAGGGAAGACCCTTCTTTGCTGTTCCTCAGTAGCTGGTAGTCTGTCCTTCGGGAGCCCTTCCTCAGCTTCTGAATAGATTTGTGGCCTGCAGCTCCCAGCTGGGATGCAGCACTTTGGTGGGGGGAGTCAGGCTGTTATTCACCTTCCTGCCACCTGAGTATGCAGCTTCTGGAAGTACTCTCACATGGCTGTAGGATACCGTCTTCTCTTCCCCTCTTGGTTATGTAGTTTTATGTATTGTATTTCTTTTCTTTTTAAAAAATTATTTGGTTATGTGTGTGTCTGTGTGTGGGTTTTTGCATATTGGTCCAGTGCCCTTGGAGGGCAGAAGAGGACGTTGGATACTGTGGAGCTGGAGTTAATGGTGGTTGTAAGTGGCCTACTGGAGGTGCTGGGAGCTGAACTTGGGTCCTCTAGAATAGCCGTATGTGCTCTTAGCTGTTGCACCATTTCCTCAGCATCTTCTTCGCATGTCTTCTGTTTCACCATCTGCTTTATTGTTATTTTCATTTTGTCTTTGTGAGGGTGATGCAAGTCAGCCTACCCCTCTTGACTCACATCTTTATACTATGGTGCTTTGCCAGGCTTTAGTGTTCAGTTGGTTTCTTTAGTTTTGCTGTAATGAGCAACACAGAGATAAGCTTGCTTGCAGTGAAGTGGTGCGTGCGTGCGTGCGTGCGTGCGTGCGTGCGTGCGTGCGTGCGTGCGTGCGTGCGTGCGTGTGTGTGTGTGTGTGTATCTTCCTAAGATAGACTTCTGGACCTCAATTGCAGGATGAAAAGGTGTATGTGCCATTAATGCCAAGTTGAGCCGAGGGAGGCCATAGCAGTTTCTATTCCAGCAAGACAAGACAGGCTTTTCTGTTCATATGTGCTCTGCAGAACTCCCCACCACACGTATATCCTTGCACACAAAGCTAAGATATCCAGGTCTCACTAGAGGAGAGAGACAGGGCTGCAGTGGCAACAGGTGTCTCTGTATTCATGATTGCTGGTAGCCCTGGCTCCTCCCTGCTCAGTCATCCTTGTCTGGCATTGGCCAGGTGAACTCAGGCTTTTCACTTCTTTGTTCCAGGCTACACTCCTGGTACACCTTACAAAGTGTCCTGTTCCCCAACCAGTGGAGCTGTGCCACCATACTCCTCTTCCCCCAACCCCTACCAGACGGCCGTGTACCCAGTGAGAAGTGCCTACCCGCAGCAGAGCCCGTACGCCCAGGTATGCTCGGGCATGCCCTACACCTTGGGGAGGGTTGGTTCCGTCCTATCCCTACAGCCCTGGAAGCCTCTGGCAGTGGTCTCTGTTTTCCCCACAGCAAGGCACGTACTATACACAGCCTCTGTATGCCGCACCCCCCCACGTCATCCATCACACCACGGTGGTGCAGCCCAACGGCATGCCAGCAACTGTCTACCCTGCTCCCATTCCTCCTCCTAGAGGCAGCGGGGTCACCATGGGCATGGTTGCTGGGACCACAATGGCCATGTCAGCAGGTGAGTCCCAGTTCTGGTGTGTGTAGTCTGTGGCAGCCTAAGGGCTGGCCGAAGTAGAGGAGAATATCCATGAAGTTCTGACGCATTAGATTCTCATGGCTTAGTTGTATGGAAGGACTCTCCCCTCTCCTTTTCCCTCCCTTTCCCCTTTTAGGAACAGGCCATGAGTCAAGATGCTTCTACAGTGGAGCATAATAGAACAGCATACTTTATTAGTGAGCTGGGGGGGGGGCATTTGGCAGTAGGAATGAAGAGTGTCAGGTCACCCTCATTTGACACCATCTCATGAGCAGCAGGGGTAGGTACTTTTGTATTCCAGATGGGCCAGCTTTCTCTGTTTGTCAGGTTTCAGTAATGAGTGTTTAAAAAAGCTAGCTTTGTGTTGATAAAAGGGAATAGCTACTTGTAAAAACCCTGTTCCATTTATGTATTGAATCAGGAAAGTGGGTTGGGGCATACCTCCTTGGAAACTTGAGATTTGTCAGAAGGTCTAAGTATGATTCACTTCTTGACCTTTCAGTATATGTAGTTGCCTAAGCCTTTCAATACAAGGTCACATATTCTCCATGACTGTGATTTAAAAAGAAGAAAAAAAATTAAACCATTCTTTAAAAAATTTTTCTGGACTCCAATATAAGGAAATCATGTCAGATATAACACCTTTGGATTCTGTTTATTTCTACTTAGAATCTCCATTTGATTTTTCTGAGTTTGTTGTTAAAGTGTAGACTAGCATAGACTTGCTGCCTGCCTGAGGGCAGCTCCCAAAGGAGGGGGGTGTGAGCAGCAAGGATTTCCCCACCTTGAGTTGTGGGGGTTTAATCCTGGGGCCACGCAGGCCCTGCTGAGTGTACATATTTATGGAATATAGAACTCCCTCCTGCATGTGTTCGTGCTCTCTCTTTCTCTCTCCCCATGTGCGACTGTTTTTGTCTCTCTTTCCCTCTCCTCCTCTCCCTCCAGTATGTAACTCTGTGTTAAGTATACTCATGTCACTGTGAAACAGGTCTCCAGAACGTTCACCCTACAAATCTAAAACTTCGTCCCCATTAAACACTCTTTTTCCTTCCTCAAGCTGTGGCACCCCTATTCTGAGTTTGACAGTCTTCAGAACCTCAGATAAGTGGGAGCTCACGATGTCCTCCCTCAGTGGCCTTTTCACTTAGCGCAGTATTCTCAGAGTTCACTTCTGCCACTCATGGGTCAGAATTTTATAGCCATCTGACCTGCTAAAATGAGTGCATGTTCTGAAGGGGAGGTAATTGTACTCTGACCATAAACTGCTGGGCTTACAACGCCCTTCAGGCTTTGGGATAATCTCTTCAGAGCTTTGACCCTTCTTGTTGAGGACCATTCCTCTTCCCTTTTGTCTCCCTCCACGGAATCCAGGTCATGTGGTTTTCAGAGGCCACATGGCCTACCTCTGCTGGAGACATCACATATGTCTTTGATGAAATGTTCTTCTTTCTTCTAGGTACTCTGCTGACTGCTCATTCTCCAACTCCTGTAGCCCCTCACCCAGTCACTGTCCCCACATACCGAGCCCCAGGAACACCCACCTACAGCTATGTGCCCCCTCAGTGGTGATGGCCCTGCAAATTAATGTAAGTACTAGTTAGGCTGGGTGGGTCCTTGGGATAGATGCATTTCCCCGAGGAAATAGGAAACTGACCTCAGATTTAAGCACTATTCCAGTTTGCTTCTCTGTTGCTGTGATAAACTAAGCAAAAGCAACTTGGGGAAGGGGAGGGTTGGTCTGGCTTACAGTTCAGTCCACCATAATGGGAACCCGAGACAGGCACTGAAGCACAGACAGGAGAGGTTGGCTGCTTATATTGGCCTGCTCCCTCCGGCTTGCTCAGCTACCTTCTTCACGTATCCTAGACCACCAGCCTGGGGATTGCACCTCTACCTTACCTCATTAATTAGCAGTCAAGAAAAGGCCACACAGACATGCCCACGGGCCAGCCTAATGGAGGCAGCTCCTCTGTTGAGATTCCCTCATGTTAACACTAAGAGAAAGGTACACCCGCTCTTTACCCTGGGGCAGTGCAGAGCTTTATGTTTTTATTCTTATTGGGATGTTCCAAGGCAGAGGAAGGAAGGAAGCCATTGTTAAACTGTTCACACTGTGCAGCTTGCTGCTTCAGTAATGCGCATGTATCACCCTTCTGTTTGCTGCACTTTGTAGGGTTCCAGTTACAATGGCGGGGGGGGGGGGGGGGGCAGGGGCACAGGGTGTGTCTATGAGGTAGGGGGTTCAGGTGCAGCAGTTTTGAAGCAGAGGTGCCAAGAGCCTGCATGACCGTTTGTCATTCTTTCCCAGATTTGAGGATGGAGCTGTGCAGTCACTTCATTGAGTTCCACAGCTGGTGCTGCAGGCCTTGTGCCTCCAACCAGGACTTTCTTCTTAATGCTCTCGACACATAGCTAAACATGACTGCGTCCCAGCCCAGCAGGTCCCGGCTCGATAGTCTCCAACTAACTCTGTGGGTTGGTTTAAAAGCAAATCCTGTTTTGTGGACTGCCTGGCAAATTTTTTAGCTAACTGTAATGATAAAAAGGGAGTATTACTCTATTCTGAATCTTATCTAGTTGAATGCATGTTTATAAAAACAAACACAAAAAGCTTGCTCAATCTACCTGCAGTGACTGATGCAAAACCATCATATGCAAAATCCAAAGGACTGGACCATGTTCTACAGCCTGTGTCACTCATGCACTGTTGTAATGTAGGCTGAGTCTCAGAGTTACACGCGTGCAATGAATGTCCTCAAGAATCATCTGGAGGGGATTCTTGGAGTTGCCAGTTAGGGACACAGACTTGTAGTTTTCAGAACCCTGGTTTCTTGGCACTGACGAACCTGGAGGGAGCTGCAGGGACTGGGAGAGAGTGAGCCTGTGGTGGCTCCAGAGCAGCAGCAGGGGTAGTAGGGTCCCTCTCCTTCATTTCAGCTGGAGTGTGGTCTGAGCAGCAGGGGTAGTAGGGTCCCTCTCCTTCATTTCAGCTGGAGTGTGGTCTGAGCAGCAGGGGTAGTAGGGTCCCTCTCCTTCATTTCAGCTGGAGTGTGGTCTGAGCAGCAGGGGTAGTAGGGTCCCTCTCCTTCATTTCAGCTGGAGTGTGGTCTGAGCAGCAGGGACGGACCTGAAGCCTATCAGGAAATACGAGAGCTGGGTGGCCAGCGCAGCTGGGATGAAGAGTGGTTGGTCTGTGTCAGCAGAGCAGTGTCTGCCATCTGAATTTCCACTGTACATCTTACAGGGTAATGCTTTATGTAGCTGTTGGGACTGTGGGGAAAGTCCGGTGTAGAACCACACTGTCATCCTAGGAGGGAAGATGTCAGAGAAGAGCAGCTACACTGAGGTGGCATTGTCTTTTGCTTTATTTCACTTAGGGAATCATCCCTTTTTTTCCCCTGAGAAATAATTGAGTCAGCTAAAAACACACAGGCACTGCTGTATTCACCCCACAAAGAAGGGCAGAGGCTTCAGCTGTGTGCTGTGGAGAATGTTGTATATTTAAGACTGGTTAAAAGGGAATAAGTGTATTTTTAAGTTAGTTCATGTTTCTTGTAGAGAAGCAAGGCTGTGATTATGTCTAAAAAAATGTAGAAGTAATGTAGCTTGTCCGGGGTCATTCACCTGATGATGACCTGTCCTCTGTGTCTACCTGGGGCGAGGCCTGGAAAGCCCGCATAAGTGTCCCGTAAGCCTCTTTTGCCACCTTTTCCTGTGGCTGGCGGCACTCAGCACCAAGCACATGTGGAGAGAGGAAGGGTCAGGCAGTTTGGACTGTGCTTGCTTGCCACATCTGTTGTGGGAAAGAGTTTGAGTATGTACATAAGAAATCAAGAAGGTTCATTTCTGCTTGAGGAATCTGTGGGAGCGTTTCTGTTCAGTGTGGTCAGAAGGGCAGAGCGTGAGGACTTCTCTGGGGGTGTTTGGTTTTGTTTCCCCCATTGAAGTGCTGGGGTTTGGTTGGAGGGGTGCTTGTCTCTGGCAGCTAGGTCAGGGCTTCTCTGCTGGTGTGAAGGTCACCTTGTTAGCAGTCAGCTTGGCTAGAGGGTGTGTCATCTGAACATTGAGCCTTTGGAAACCTTATTTTATAGTAGTGCTCTCCATAACTTGTTTTTAAGCATTTTATTTTTTAAGAAGTTTTTAAAAATTTCTGCATGGATCAGTGTACACAGAAGAGTTCTCATTCCCAATGTCCATGAGCATAGAATGTTTACGGATGAGCACTTAAGTGTGTGTGTGTGTGTGTGTGTGTGTGTGTGTGTGTGTGTGTGTGTGTGTGTGTGTGTAGTAAGGAAGCACACAGTACACAGAAATAGAAACATTTGCTGTAGGCACACAGCCTGTATCTGTACTTCATGTTGGGATTCCCATTTGTGTGGTGGATGGTTTTCAGTGTTGCTGGTTCAAGGTTTCCCAACAGACAGAAGATCAGTGAAACAAATGTACCCATGATTTTTGCATGTGTTTGAAAAAGTCCCCTCACCCACCCCCTACTAAACATACCTGTGAAGGGTAGAGTGGTTTGCCTGCGGCGGGAAGTTACCAAGTCTTTGGGTCTGCTTGCTGTTGCACACAGTGTGTGTTTCCACAGGCCCTGAGTTCTCAGGAGAAAGAAGAGTGGGGTGGCGTCCCCTCCTGCTGATGACATTAGCTTCTCACACTTGCCCTGTAACTGTTGCCACATCATTCTCTTTCTTTCGAATTGAACTGAGTGGCTATCAAACACTTTTGTATTGTACAACACATCTGTCTTTTCTTTTGTGAAACCATCGGGACATCTGCTATGGAATCTGCTGGTAAAAGATCTTGCCTGTCAGGTAAAAGGCTGAGCATAGGGATAGTAACAAACTGTCAAAGGGGGTGATTTCAGTAGCATTCCTTTCAGTAAGATTAAGGAACAGAACTTGGGTCTGTATTCTATCACACAGCTGCATAGGTATCCCCAGAACATTCCAAGAAAGTGTGTTTTTTATGTGTGTAACATTCCCAAATATATAGTCCTTCAGTTGAATTCTTCTGGAAGGTAAGGCAGGCAGGCAAAAGTCCTGATACCTGTGAACATGGACATCACTTTTGGGCGCATATATAGTTTTTTAAAGTTTATTCTCTGCTGCCTGCCCCGAGGCTAGGGAGCTTCTTCCTTTGCTGCTGCTGTTCGGTGTTTAAGGTTTGGTAGAGTTGTTGAGTGTTGAGCAACCTGTAAGCTCCCTGAGAAGTAAGGCTGCCGTCAAGATTGGGCAAGGTAGGTTACAGGCATGAAGTGCTCTTTTAGAACTTTTGTCTCCTGTCTTGTGGACTTGGTGGAAGAACCATTGAGTGGCCTATCAGTTACCATGCTGGGTAGCAGCTTTTGAGTATTTTGTAGAGGCTGTGTCTCCATCAGGAGGGAGGTCCTCAATTCTGGATTGACTGCTGAGTATCTTACCTTTCCTCACCCGTGCATCTGGTTATATTATCCTGCTGTGCCAGGAGGCTGGAGGAGCACATTGGATGTTTCTTAAGGGCATGCTACAATGAGAGGAAACTCACCGGCTTGTCTGTGGAGGAGAGAGGCTGGCAGGCATAAATACGCCTTCAAGGTTGTGGCTGCTTGGCATTTCCTCAGATCTCCTTTGTGAATATTAGAGTACAGTGTTATTGACTGGGGCCACCTTCTCTCACTCAGCAGCCGACACCTGTAGTTGTGGTGAACCTGCCACTGCTGTGTGGCACAGGACCTGCTAGGATGCAGTGGCAGCTGTGGCAGCTGCTGGCCCTATCCTCTGGTGCTTTCTGAGGGTTGCTGGAGGGCAGGAGTGCAGCTGGCTGGGCGGTGGAATGTGGAGCTCACGCTCCTGTCCAGCACACCTCCCAGGTTTGCGTATTTCCTGAGTTGCTTATCCTGCCCAGTTTTCTATGTTTGATAGACTGATACCCAGAAAGGATAATGTGGTTTTGGTAGGAACACTTAAATTAATTCCCTATGTTTTACTTCTTTCCTACCCCTCTTCATTTGAAGAACAGAAAACCTGTGGAATCTTACAATTATGGGATGGGAGGCAGCAGCTTTTCTGTCTAGGGACTGCAGTAATTATACACAAGATGTGAGGACCTGATTGGTATAGCAGGCAGCTCCCATGGAAGGGCTGTGGACGTCTGGTGCAGACTGTGGGTGGTATAATAGACCAGTTAAGTGAGACTGGGGATTGGCTCCCAGCAGGGTGATTATGGCAGCTGCAGGCCCCAAGGAGCCTGATAGGCTGCGACTGAACAGAAGAGGTTCTTCTTTTTTTAAACTTTTATTTTTAAATACTCTTTTTTACACTGTTTCTTGGTACTTTTTTTATGCTTACGTCAGCATTGTCTTCCAGTGTTAAAGGCATCCCTTGCCTCTTCATTGAATTTGTGTCAATACAATAGGAATGGGCAGACTGTCCATCCCCAGCCAGTTCAATTAAATGTAAATTCATACTGTTTTAATTTTTTATGCAATCTGATGAGTAGATGAGCTCAGATTTAAAATCATTAAAAGCACGTTTATTGTAACAGGAATTGTTATGTATTAATACTGCAGTTTTCAATAAAGATTGACTTGTGTTGCATATTCTGATTTTTCTTCTTGTGATTTTTGTAGGAGGTGAAGGCCTGGCTGGCACATACTGCCACTTCTCCCAGGCAGGAGATTGTTAGGGGACTGGGAGGAGGCTGTTCAACCCTCAATTGGTTTTAGTGGAGGGGGTCCTCCTGGGTGCTGCAGGAGGTGTAGGCTTATGTAACTCTACATGAGCCTCCTGTGTCTCTCAGTTAGGTAAGGAGGATGCTGAGAGCCAGAAGTATCACTGATTCCATCCCTTAGCTTACATATGCCAATTAGCTGGATATGGGAGACGGGGAGGGAGTCTGTGCACACTGCCATCCACGGCTCCCTCACTTCTTCCTCCCCCCCATTCCTTTGGGCCCTTGCAACAGTGAGTGTAGCTACCTTAGCCCCCTTGTACCAGGAGCCCTGTGACTGTGGCCCAGTGAGCAGATCTCCCCTAGGCTGAGGGCAGAGGTAGGGTACCAGCCCCAGCAGGGATTGGCCAGCACACAGGAGAAGAAGGTCACACATACACCAGCGATTCACCAGCAGCCAGGTTTTCTTAAGTTTCTTTATGAAATTAAATGTGGTTTCTGGATTAGAGAACGTACAGTGCAAGAGTTACTGACCATGCTTCTGAATCCTATGGGCTCTGCACTACATGCAGGCCTGGCTGTGTGCCCCACGAGGAGTCAGTCCATGCTAGGCCACAGAATTCAGTCCTTATGGCTTCTCACACTCACTAGGGTAAGGCAATCTTTCTGTGTCATTAACAATTCTGTTGTTAGAGAAACAACACGACAAAATCGTAATGAACAGGGACTGGGTATGTGTGCAGCCACCCCAGCTACAGGGGACTGTCACTAACCTGGAACCAGGTACACAGTTAACTGTACGGTTTTCATTGCACATATCACAAAGGGTGTCTGGCAGCCAGCAGGGTCTAGAGGAGCCAGGAGGCATAAGGACAGCTATGGGTAGAGTTAGGATTGCACAATTCCTGGTTCCTGACCTCTGAAGTTGCAAGTGGGCTGGGGTTCTGAAAGGACAAATAGAGAGCAGAGGGGAGGGGTGCACACCTGCTTCTGCAGGTGGCTCATGGCCACAGACTTTGGTCTCCTGCCCAGAGAAAACAGGAGTGGAGATAAGCTTTCCAAAGAACGTCCAGCGCAGATGAGCCTTATTTGCACAGCCTGGCCAGTGGTTCTGAGGTGTAGCTTGCAGGCTCACCATCGGTGGAGGCCCTGCACAGGTCCAGAGTATAGGCAGAGGCTGGTACCCGTGCACCACTGCACTCGCAGTGGGGAAGAGGCCAGAGGCAGGGCCCAGACTTCATACAGCTCTGATGCTGTACCTGCACACTTGCAGTTTGCAAAACAGGCAGAGGGCCTGATGGCGTAGGCCTTGAGGGAAGGCTGGGTCCACAAAGTGCTGTCAGGTTGTCTGATAGGTGCTGGCTCACTTTCGGAAGGGGGCGAGTCGGCTGATGCTGTGCCAGAAGTTAGATGGCTTCCGCCTGGGCTCAGCTAGCACCAACACCTGCTGCTGGGGCCGGCTGGCAGGCAAGGATGGATGCTTGTGGCGGGTCAGGTATCCTGGTCTGCCGACAGCTGGGCAGGGAGAGACAGCAGGGGTCACAAGGTAGAAGACAAAGGGGTTCATCTGGGTTCTGTTGCAAACCCTTCATGGGGTAGTTTGACACACAGGATTTGCTTACCAGGGGGCTAGCCATGACACACAGGACCTCAAGTTATCGAGAGCTTCTGGTCTGGGCCTAGCCTGCCAGAGCCTGTCCAAAGCATGGGATGTCTGCCTCCACCATCTATGGAGATGGACAGCTGACTCCCTCCCAGGCAGCTGTGATGTGCCTGCCTATCAGCAGCCTGGGGGTGTGAGCACTAATGTTCGTTTGGTGCCACTAGGAGGTCAGAGGCATCAAGCAAAGGCTAATAACTCTTGTCCTCTGTGGCCCCTTATCACCTGCACCTGTAAAGTGCAGTGGACATCTCCAAAGATCCAGATGGCTAGCTGGCATTGCTTTGAAGTCAGATGGATATGCCATCAAGGCTGGAATGCCCAAGGAGTAGGATGGTTCCCCATTTACCTTTAGGCTTCCCTGTGGCCTGCTGCTTGCTGGCGTTCAGCATGGCCTGCTTCCTCTGCAGCTCAGTGATGGAGAAGCCTGGAGGAAGGGCACATGTGAGACCCTGCCTTGCCTCCCTCAACTACGCACGCGCCTCCTTGGAGGGCTTCCTGGTCCAGGTGCCATCCTCCCGATGCCCCATTCCTATCACTCTTTAGACAGGCTGGCATGGCAGGGACTGGTCCCTCACCTGTTGAGCCATCCTGTTCTGCCAGCCAAGGGGGAGAACAAAGATCCCCTGAGCCACCAACTTCACGTCGCCCCTTGACCCTGTGTCCCCTTCCCATTTCTCCAAGCTAGCTTCTTCTCTGTACTGCCATGGAGGCTCTTGGCCAAACCAAAGCATGAAGCTGGGGGCCTAGGAACAGGAAAGGATGGGGACGGATTCTGTAGTACCCGCCCCATGCTCTCCCAGGGCACGAGCTGGCTGGAGAGGGGGCTCTTCCTGGTCACAGAGTAGGGCACGCCCATCGGACCCAGTCAGTGAGGCTGACCACGGTGGACGGGCCCTTTCTGCCAGAGGGGTAAGCACAGAACTGTGCTCAGAGGTTTCTGCAGCCTCACCCAGCGCTGGGTGTGATCTCATTGTCAAGTCTGCCCTGACCACCTGGTCGGTGGGCCCCAGAGGCTAGGCAAGGCCCAGCAGGGTCTCCCACCTGTCTCCTGGTCCAGCCGCACCTGCTCCCTCTCCCTGGCAAAGGCCTTCAGCCAGCGTTGCTTCTGTTCTGGCTTCCTGGCACACAGTAAGTGACTGTCCCCCGTGGCACCGCAGTACAGACGGAAGGCATTCTTGACGCTCACGTGGAGGTCTCGGTCCTTCCCGTCTTCCACATCCACCACCTCCAGGTCATCCATGTCCAGCCGACCTTTGTAGTATAGCACGTCCCGACGGAGCAGGTCCTGCCAGATGCTACCCTGAGCACTGGCTGCCCCGCAGCCTGCCTGACCACTGGATCATGCCGACTCCCACCCCCACGCCCCTGACTGACAGGATGGTCTTGTCTTTGAGATACACATGGTAGGGTGGGCAGAAAGTCCCAGAAACTAAAGCAGCAGCCCACGCGGTATGGGAGAGCAGAGAGAACAAGGAAGACGGCCTCGTGCATGGAGCCATTGTGCCACAGTTTGGGAGAAGCAGAAGCTAGCAGTAAAGAGGCCAGAGGCTGCTGCTGCGATCGGAGAGATCATGAGACAGAAGCAGAGGCTTGCAGGGAGAGACATGGTCTGAGGAGCAGGCAAGGGACCAGATCAGGAAGGAGGGTGTGAGACAGCACGCTGTTCTAACAGCCACCCCGGTGTCCCTGGGCTCCCTCTAGAGAGTCCTAGGGGCCTGACTGGAGCTCCTGGAGACATGAAATGGCCAAGGTAAGCGTCTACCAGGCTCTTTGCTTTTAGACAAGAGTCCCAGCCCTTACCACTCTACTATATGAGACTGGTCTGGCAAGCCAGGGTGTTTCCGATACCTTTTTACAGTAGATGAGCTGACGGTCAAAGAGGAAAAACATTCTCTGCTGACTCTTGGCTTGAGGCTGTGTAACACGGGTCAGCTCCCCCGAGTAGATGAGTTCCGAGCTCCTGACCAGGAGATCTTCCCCCTGAGTGACCCCAAGGAGAGCTGTGAGGTAAGTGCACCCTACCTTATGCTCCGCTTCCTGTCTCTCTTGTTGGTGAGCCTTCCCACTGTAGCCTGAATTGTGCCAGGCAGGTAAGGGGAATAACACCCTTAAAGCCCAGGCAGTACTTTGGGCCTTGAAGGTATGGCTGTGGGAGGTGAATGAAGGCAGATTTGACCCATTCTGTGGAGTAGGACTTCACTGTGGCCTTCTGAGGCTCTTGAGCACTGAGAATTTGATGTGTCACTATAACGTGCACAGTGTTTTCAAAGGGTATGGAACAATGTAAGATACATTTGGCTATGCTGAGTTAAATAAAATATGAAAGTCCACTTCACTTTTTCATTTTCGTTTTGTATGTAGTATGTATGTATGTATGTATGTATGTATGTATGTATGTGTTCACATGTGTGCTTATGTATGGTATGGGGACAGAGGTCAACACCAAGTGTCTTAGTCACTTTCCATCCTTTTTTAAAGCTTTTATTACGTTTATTTATTGGGGGGGTGGATGCACATGCCACAGCAAGTGTGTGGCGGTCAGAGGACACCTCGCAGGAGTCTCTCTTTCCACTCTGTGGGTCCTGGAGACTGGGCGCAAGTCATCAGCTTTGGCAGCAGGTCCCTTCACCTGCTAAGCCATCTTTCCGACCCATCTCTACCTTACGTGTTGAGACGAGGTCTTTCACTGAACTCATAAATTCAATTTGGCTGGCCAGAAAGCTTCGGGGATCCTCCTGTCTCTAACGGTCTAGGACTTCAGGGATCGTCCTGTCTCTAACCATCTAGGCCTGGGATGCTTTTTATATGGGTGCTGGGAATCAGAACGTGGGTCCTCCTGCATGTATCCACAGCAGACACTTTACCACCTGAGCCATCGCCCTAACCCCACATTTTTCCCCTTTGGCTACTAGAAAGTACAACACTCTAGGCATGGCTCGTGTTATCTTCTGAATGGACAGTGCTGCTTCGGAGAAAGAACAGGCTTGGCAGGAACTTGCCCCTGCAGCTAAATGTGTTGAGGACCTGAAGCTGGCAGTCTGGCGCTGCTGGCAGCTATCCATTTCGGGATGACTGTGCTCCACAGTCCTTGCCCAAGCATGGGCTCAGAACCGGTCTGCTGCATTGTCCTCCCCTACCCAAGGGTTAGGACTTGTGTAAGGGTAGAGCCTAGGTCTCTACTTTTATGCTTTTCTGTGGCTTATTCTGATACGCTTTCACTTATCTCCTTATCCTGACGGCTGGCACGGTATGCCGTGGCTCCATATGGGTAGAGTGGAGGTGGCTGGTTGCTGGGGGCAGAGTCCTCCCACCCCCATGCCTCTAGGGATAGGATGCTAGTCATCAGTTTGCTGCTTTAGAAGGCAAGACTGGCGGATGCATGGGAATGAGCAACCCAGAGAAACTGACAAAGCCTTGAGGTATGAGGGTCCATTTCTAGTCCCACCATTAGCTCTAAACTCAACTGTTGAAAACTCCGTAAGGTTTCTAAAGCTTAGCAGTCCAGCCTGTCCCCTAAGGGCAGAGAAACAGACCAAGGTGTCTTGGAAACACAGTTCCTTAGGTTAGGGCTGCCCCATGGCTGGCGATGGCTAGGTGTGTGGTAGTCTCACACAGGAAAGAGACCATTAGGTGTCGAGGTGGAGGAGCCACCAAAGGCCCAATGCGAGAGAACCTGTCTTCCAACAGCTCCCGGGAGAGCGGTGGATCCCTACTTCCGTTCCCTGCTGGGTAAGAACAGTTTTCAAGCAAGGACCCCACAGTATTTTCTGGGCACTGGTGCCCTCACCTCCCAGTCCTCTATGGAGCTCTGCCACTGGGCGATCTTGTCGATGTTTTCAAGTCTCCGTTTCCGTTCATTGATGAGCTGGGCCACATTCTTCATGGCATGCAAGGCAGCTTCAACGTTCTTAAAGTCCCTGGGGCAGAAAAGACAGAAGTGTGGGGCGAGCTGGAAAGCAGAAAGGGTCCCCAGAGGCCCCTCCATGTGAAGTTGCCACCTGTCCCATAGCCACAGCCTCACCCATCAAGTAGTCTCCCCTCCATAACTGGCAGTGAGAACAGCTTAATATTTTACTGATCTGTGTCCTCCCCTACTCCAGGATAGCTCAGGGTGGTGGGTTTGCCTCACCCTAAGCTATTTCCCAGTGCCCACAGCAGTACCCAGTATTCTGCATATGGTAGCCATACTATAAATACTCAATTGACTGGCTGATGGCATGCAGAGTCTCAGGCAGCTTCCCTCACCACCACGTGCCTTCTACCTGTGCTGGGGGTGTGTGTACTTGAGCAGCTCCGCCAGCTGGAGGGGGTACTTGCAGATCTTCTGCACTGGGGTGAGCAGAAAGCCGTCCAGGGAAATGTCAATCATTCTTTGCAACAGCCGGCAGGCCTCGAAGAAGTACACATACTTGCTGAGCTTGGTGAGCCGGGAGAGCTCCACACAGGCATTGGGGTGGTTGTTGCAGTATTCGGAATAGATCTGGAAGTCTGCTTGCTGGGGGCACAGTTGAAGGTCAGGATGGTTGTCTCCTGTTTCCCCAGGCAACAGGCCACAGCCACAAGGTGAACGGGACAGGAAGGAGCCTCTGCATTTGTTTTAGGGACTGGTTCTACCGACTTCACTGGGTACAAGCTGTGAATTGTCATTCCAGGGATGGGGAAAAATAAACCTGTGATATGTGCACACCTATCCTTGAAGCCGCTCAGCTTTCCCAGCAGGGCTTCCAGGAGATACACTGATGATGAATCTGTCTTTATTGTATTATTTTTTAACGAAATCAGTGGTGCTAATCAGGTGTGGAAAATTCTGGGAAGAGACAGAGCAAGGGAGCTATGCGTAAGGACGAGACGGGGCAGGGTAGGCACTGCTGTATGTGAGGACTCAGGGGTCCAGTCCAGGAGGGGTCCAGGTGGACTCACGTGTTCCAGAAAGCAGGCACCCAGCTCGCTCAGGTGTGGCCGCTCTGTGTTGAACTTCTGCTCTAGAGCCTTCACAAACGCCTTCTGGCAGCGGTAGATGTCTTCGATGTTCCCGAAGATGGTGCGCAGCTGCTCTTCACTGAACATATCCTCGCGCTTTCGGCACTGGCGGACGTAGCCCTGGGGGATGGGGCGGGGCCAAGCTCGCTATGGACCCACGCACCTCCGCACCAGTCCACTTCACCACTGACCCCACTTAATCACTATGCCCTCTGACGCCACCCATCTTAGTCTACCCATAGGAGTCAAACATCCATCCACAGCCCTCATCTCTCCAAGCAAGCCCTGCCCTCCTCACCTCACAGATGTCCCGAAGGTGCTTGATGTAGTCCCTCTCAGTGCTGAGGATCTCATTGATGACGTTGGTGCGCATCTGGTCCTTGCAGCTCTGGGCTTCTGGAAGGCTGTCATTGGTCTCTCCAGCCCCGGCCCGCGGGGCCTCATAGTCGTCCGCGGGCTCGTCCTGGTTCACCCGCAGCTGACAATGCAAGGCTATTAGTGCCTGCCATCCTCCAGTCAGCCCCTGAACTCTGCTCCAGGTCATCGGGAGCTGAGGCCAGTAGCTCCCACAGCACACACAGGTCCAAGGGCACACCTGCAAATTCCCTGCAACTGCCAACTAGGCTCAAGGCCAGGGCAGGGGATGGTGGGTTTGATGACTACAGTTGCTGTCAAATTCACACCTCCAGTAGACTGTTCTCAGCAGGGATTGGAGCAAGCCCTGGGAATTCCTGAACCAGACCTACTCATTCTAGGGCATGCAGCTGCCTAGGCAGAGGCCTTGCTAGATTGCTAGCCTGTTAAGTTAGGAAAGGGCGGGGGTCTGCACAGAAGGAGTTCCTGAGTACCTGGGAATTCCCTCCCTCTGTCTGGCCTTTGAGAGTCTGCATTAAGTGTCCTTCTCTGGTGACCAGATGCGGCCTAAGGTTGGAACTGGGTCACCTGCTCCCTTGGGTATGATTTCACTGTCTTTTGCCTCCTGGTTTCTACCTCTCAGGGCTGTGTTCCACACACACCCCAATGAACACGACAGTCATGAAGTAGTGGTCTGCTAAAACATATTACATTTATGACCTCTTCTCTCTGACCCCAGGGGGCTGGCAAGCAAGGCCCTGGGAACAGGGAATTGAGCAGAAAGAATGTCTGTGTCACAGTTCTGACCCCCCACCCATACAGCACCGAGCAACAGCAAAACAGACAGCGTGGTCTATGCCTGGGACTGCAGAGCTGTTTGGGGCTTGGACTTCTGAGCAGAGCCAGAAGTCATCAAAGCCTCGGGGAAAGCACAGATTGGAGCCATACCCGTACAAAGCTGGCAGGGAACCACCCCTCGCCATCTGCGACGCGGCCCCACCACCATTCTCTGTTGGTGGCATCCATCACTTCGACGACATCCCCAGCTTTGAAGCCCAGTTCCTGGTCATCCATGGTAACATGGTCCCACAGGGCTTCAGCACACACCACACTGCCATCACTGATGAGCTGTCGAGAGAGCCAAGGAAGGTGGGTCAGTGAGGCAAGAATGCTCTACCCTGCCCCTACCCAACAAGCCCTGGAAGCAGGGATCCTGGTCTGCTTTACAGAGAAACTCATGAGTCTCCCTCCGGGTCAGCGACTCTCCTGGGGCAGGGCTTTGCTTTGGGATGTCTAGATTGTCCAAGCCCAATGAGGAGTGAGAAGGAGAACACAGGAAATTGAGCGTCGCATGGTTCCTTCCCTGTTCAGCCACACCTTTTGCTATTGAGCGTGTGGCTTTGGCTGCAATGCCCTACACTGAGATGCTGGACTGGGACACGCACTAGGATGTGGCAATTGGCAGCTGCTACCTGCTCTCCTAGGCAGCCGTTTAAGAGAGGGGACTTGCTCCCTCTGCAGATTCTAATTGACTTGCCTGGCCTGTGAGGTTACCCAATTAACAGTGCTGTTTTATCAATGACAGTGTCCATCACAGCAGCTGGGCCATATTTGTTGTGGGTTGTTTTTTTTTAAAACCCTTGCAGAAGCAGTCACATGACATGATGGCTCCTTACAGCCCAGACCTCCACACTAGCTAAGGGGCGGTCCTCGGCCCTGAGTCCTGGAGGTCTGTTTTAATTACTCTATCGCCTCCCTTTCTTGCCCAGGCTGGAGAAGAAACAGACTATTCTTGTAGCTGCTAACTCTAGCTGGTTAGCCTCTTCCACCGAGTCAGTCACATTACATCCGGCTGAGAGCTCTGTGGACTGGGATCTTCTGCCTAGATGACTCACTGGTGAGGCTCCTCTCTCCACTGTGTGGCCTGTCCCTGTCTCCTTCCAGATTGCCCTGATGGTTGGAGCTCTGTCCCGCATCCATTCGCTTCTGCTTTTCGGTTTTGAAGGCTGTTTTCTGCTTTGTGAGCAAATGGCTCTGGTGGCTGAGGACAGGAGACAGTGGGGTAGGGGGTGCATATGACCTCCTCCCTGGCTAGCCCAACAGAGAGCTGGATGGTATAAGCAGGTCCCCTCACAACCCAGTCCTGCCTCTAAGCTGCTCGACACCTGCACTCCTCTCTGGCTTCCCGGATACTTCCTTATTTGAATCCTCGAGTCAGCCCAGGAAAGAGAAGCATTTCCCAGGAAAAACGAACCAGACATTGTCCTAGAGCTCTCTGTGCCCAAAGTCACACAAGGATCCCAGCATAGAGCTCTGGGTTCTTCCTGGGGACACAGATCTCCGATCTCTGGGCTCACTGTCTCCGTAACAGTGACTTCTGTGGACAAGTCCGGCTGACATACGTCTGGTATAAGATAGGAGGACTCAGCAATGCCTGACCTGGGGTCTGTAATTCAGGCCGCAGATTTGGGGAAGTAACCCAGAAACTCGACATGGCCCCGCCTCTTGCTTTGCATGATTTCCTCAGATAAGGATTGAGAAGAAGGAAGGAAGGAAGGATGGGGGAGGGAGGAAGGGAGGGAGGGATGAAGAAAGGAAGTTAGACCCCTCTCCATGGTACTGCACACCCTCTCCTTACTCTGTGTGTATCTTGTGGATCCTACACTGCCGCTGGGATAGCTACTGGGTGTGTAGGACAAAGAGGCAGGACTTTTCAGAGAAAGGGTCCTGAGTAGCATTAGAGACAAGTCCTACAACATCTCTGGCCAGTCATGTGGAAGCCTACGGAGTGGGCAGGAGGCATTGGTCATCGAAGTTGCTCCCGTACACAGAAAGCACGTGACAGACACACTGCTGTGTCTCTGAGCAGATCCTCCGAACTCCTTGTGTCCCCCATCAGCACCCAGTAGACAGAATCTCCCCTTCCTGGGCCTCACAAACGGAAGCCTAAAACGCTCTAGCTCTGAAATCAACCATTTCCGTGTCGTCATTCATTGCCAAAACAAAATGTGGCCCCACGAGGCTAGGAACACATTTCCTAGACTATCAGAGGTGAACCCCAGCTTCAGCCAGGTTCATTTCTCTGCAGAACTCTCTGGGCCCGGCCAGGTGCCCTTGCTCCTAAATCTAGCACTCCAGCTGCCGCCTGAGGCCAGAACTCCAACTGGCTTCTGCCTGGCAGTAGGAGGCAGAGGCTGGCTAGCTTCCTCTGAGGTGGAGGGACATCTGGGGGCAGGTGGGGCTTGTGCCAAATCCCGAGGTAAGTTCAAGACTAAGATAAGCCAGAGGGGCAGGGGCAGAATTCCTTCCTGTGCCTATGATTCTGACTGGCAGTAGGGGAGGGTAAGGCCTCCAGGCTGTGACTCAAACGGACCCCTCCCTTATCATCACCCTCCTACCCTCCTGTGTTCCCCTCACATGCAGGGTGGTGGCAACTGCTACCAAGCTGGCCCTGAACACCGGATGTGGTGGGAGGGTGTGTTCAGAGTGGCTGCTGCAAGCCAGACAGCGGCGGCTCTGCCCTAGGAGACTGAGTGGCACTTTTTAAGGCCTAAAATAACAAAAACGCAGGTTGTCACCTGCAGAGGAGCCCAGATACCCTCTACAGGCCTCCTGCAGCCCCCACACAACACATGCCCCGCAGTCCTATGCATGCCCTTTCCAGAGATTCTCGCCCTCCCCCAAGCAGGTCACAGCTCCTCCACATCTTCAGTTAGAGACCCACCCGCCATGTTGCCCCACCCCCTCCTCCCCAGCTTCCAAAACCCAGGAAAGGCCTATTGGGCACGTGTGCCACCACGCCCCTCAGTTATCCTCAATGTGGCATCCTCGGGGACACCCCCAGACCGGCGGCATTGACGGTGAGCACACGGGGAAGGTGGGAGTCCTCCCCCCTGCGGTCTATCGTTCGCGCGGTGACAGCGGCTGGAAGGTGCCACTCACCCTGCGCGGTCCCCTGCTGTCCCTGGCGCTTGCAGCTCAGCGGAAGGCCAGTAGGAATATCAGCACGGCGTTGATGAGGACCAGCAGTGCCAGCACAGCCGAGACCACCACGCGCTGGGCACCCGGGGGCAGGTTGCAGCGCAGCAGGGCGCGGAGGGCGCCGCCAGGCGTTGCGGGGCCGCGCCGGGGCTGCGGGGGCTTGGCCATCACGCCCGGCCTACCTCCGGGCTCCTAGCGCCGGGAGATCCCAGCTCGGGGCTGGAGCCGGAGGCGTCGGAAAGGAGGCGGAGCTGCCTGCGCTCACCCGCCAGGCTCCTCCCTCACAGCTCGCAGAGTGAGCCCTGCAACTGGGGCTTTGGTGGGAGCAGGGCGAAGGAACTGCAATAGGGTGGGGGGGCTGTTAAAGTCGCATGACGGGGTTGCTGTGGCGTTGAAGTGCGTTGTGATCTGCCCTGGGCGCTTCCCTGAGAGAGGTCAGAAGACTCTAATAATCACACTGAACACGTGCCCAGATAGCCACGGGAGTCCTGGGGGCTGCCGGGAACCTAGTGGACCCAGACATTCCCTAGCGAGTTGAAATGTTTGGCAAGGTTACTATGGGTTGGGGTGGGTTAGTAGTTCAATTTTGTCATATAATCCAGACTGGCTTTAAATTCATTTACATAGATGACCTTGAAATTCTGATCTGCCTTCCTCCTCCTCCTCCTCCTCCTCCTCCTCCTCCTCCTCCTCCTCCTCCTCCTCCTCCTCCTCCTCCTCCTCCTCCTCCTCCTCCTCCTCCTCCTCCTCCTCCTCCTCCTCCTCGGTAGGAGTCCAGGCAAGAACCATCAAGCTTGGTTTATGTGGTTCTGGGAGATCAAACGCAGGGCTTCATGCTTGCTAGGCAAGTACTGTCCTCTCTGAGTCAAATCCCCAGAGGACCAAGGGTTCTTATTTCTAATAAGGCTGTCCTCTGACACTCACTTCACAGATGAGTAATTGTGCTTCTGTCACATCAGATAGCTGTCACACAATTACCCAGCAAAACAGGGTACTGGGGTGGGGGAGGGGGATTTGAACCAGGGCCTGATTGGTAGGCTCAAGCACCAGAACAGGATTTTGAGCTGTCTTCTTCACTGGAATCACCAAGCAGAAACTGTAACCTCAAACGGGCAGAGTTCTCAGTCTTGCCAGCATGTCCCTCTGAAAGCAACTGTAGGTTAGAGGGGTGTGAACCCACAACAGAGGAAGCATGGTGTCCATGTGTGAGTGACCATACATTCAGATCTCCTAGTACCTGTGACCACCCTGCTGAAGAGCCCAGGTCCTGTGTGCAGTGTGCACAGATGTGAATCTGTCAGGAGGGACATTTCTGTGGGCACGTGTGTTGGTTATCTGTGCATGCACTTGTGTGTGTGTGTGTGTGCTTCTGTGAACCTGAAGGGGCAGCCTGCCTTCTGCACTACAGGCTCAGCCTAGACCGTCTGTCTGGGGTACTGCATTTACTCAGTTCTGTAAAAAATCTTGGGTACCAGGTTTGATTCCCCCATTCCTCAAAGGGCTTAGGGAACATGGCAGTTTGAATAAGATGTCTCCCATTGTCTTGGGGCTTGTGAATACCTGACTCCAAATTTGACGGCACTGCTGTGGGAAGCTGAGGAGGAGTGGCCTTGTTGGAGGAATTCTGTCACTAGAGGTGGGCTTTGGGAGTTTAAACGCTTGCATCATTGTGTTCTCTATGCTTCCTGCTTACATTATGAGATGTGAGCTCTCAACTGTCCTTGCTGCCGTATCTGCCACCTGCTGCAGTAATTTTCTGCTGTGACCGACTCTTAGCCCCTGGAACCACATGTTCAAATAAACTCTTCTAAAAGTTGCCTTGGTCATGTTTTATCACAGCAATAGAAAACTAACACAGGGGACATTAGAAGACATCCAAAGGCCACTGCCATTCCACTCTTCACTTTCCTGTAAGTCTGGGGACCTGCCATCTAAGAGAGTGAGGCTGGGAATCCATGACTTGTGTCAGTAAGTTTGTGGTTCCATAGAGAGAGGGTACCCTCTGCATCCTTAGACACCTTAGCATAGCAGGTTGAAGCGCTGTGGGGTCTATGATATTGAAATAAAACATTCCATCTTTGAAGGAAGTTCTTTAAGACTCAGAAGAAGGTAAACAAAATTTAGAAAACTTAGTAAGCAGACAACTC